AATTTCAGCACAGATGAGCTGTGGATTTCTCCACGGTTGGGTGCGGCGGGTATTAGAGACATGTTTAGCAGCGCTGTTTGTTGGGATTGGGGAAAAGCAGACGAGGCAGGCAGTCTGGATGTAAGGACAGTGGAAAGCAACGAGGACATACGGGGGCAAGGAAGGAACAGAGGCTTCGGAAGGGTTGGTGAGGGGGCCGGGTGGGGACTGGCTGCGTGTGGGCTCGCCGACAGCCAGAGGGGAGCTGCGGGCTCCGCGGGGCTCCTGCATCCACCTACAGTCACTGTGAGGGCGGCTCCGAAGCCAAGCAAGCCTTGCTGGTTCTGGCTTCTAGGGTCTACCAATTTCACGTCCCTAACGAGAGAGAGAGAGAGAGATGCGTCAGCGCCCCCCATTCACCCATCCATCCATCCGTCCCCACTCCCTCCCCTGGCTCCGCATGGCTTGGCCATGACCCCCTTCATGCCACCTGTCCGGATTCGCACCAGCTGTCGTAAGGGGCGCCACTCCGAGGCCACCCTCTGGCCCATGACTGGGGATCATGTGGAAAGACAGCCCTGCTCCTGAGCCGCTGACTTGATAGCACTTTGTCTTTTCTGCCCTTGGTCTGACTCCTGCCCCGACTGCTTCCTGTTCCATTTCCTCCCTTACTAGCCTCCCTTTCCTCTTACCTGCCCTCTCGCTCTGGCTAGCGTGAAGGGATTTTTCCCTCAAATAAAAGCACTGTTTGACTGTAAGGAACAGCCTCTGATGAACTGTTTGACCACGAGTAAACAGTGGTTTTCAGCCTTTAGAGGAGGAGATGTTTAGAGTGTTTAGTGTGTTTTAACAGCCATCTGGGATGATCTTTAAAATTGGACTTAAAGATCAAGTTCCCTTTTTAAAAGTTTTTAAAGAGCTGTCTGCTGTTTAGTACGTCTGCATCATGGTTTTCATCGGCGTGCTGAAAACCATGGGAGAAAACAAGAAACTACAAAAACGGGCCTATCTGTTGTTGACGCGGCGGAGGATTACAAGAGTGGGGTTAGAGTCACTGCCGTGTGAGAGAGAAATACTAGTGAGAACTAGGCGAGGCTCATGCTACTGTTTTACTAGGTGCCAGGGATGTGAAGTACACCCCAAAGAAAGCAATCTCAAAAACTTTCATTTCGTGCTTGTCACAAGCATGGAGAGTCCCCAGACTACACCATCCTCTGTAACCGGGGCCCCACAGGCCCCCCATTATCCGTAAGGCAGGTGTGTCCAGTCGGGGATGACTGGCCAGGTCTTGGGTTGTAAAACCTCACACCACCTAGGAATAACAACAGAATCCTGTAAGCGGAGTCAAGTACAGAGTGCTCTCGCCCTCAGGATCCTAGCAACCAATGAGGATGACCCTGGAATAAAACGAACGGCATCAATTAGTGGGGTGAGCACTGGCCAGCTTCTAATCCCCCTTCCAAACCTGCTACTCATTTGCTGTTCTTTTTTTTCTTGGTTTCCTGATCGACAGTGAAGGGCTTGGGCTAGACAGCTTCCAAAGCTCTCTCCACCTCAAGTGTCTGTAACTTTTAAACCCATGGCTCAAACTTTAACTCTGAGTTCTAAAGTCATCTGGTTCAGAAGTAAGTCCGTTTGTATCCATCTGATTTCTCCAGAACATCTGGGCTAGTGAAACTTGACTCCACCAGAGGGGCCCCAGTGTCCTGGTGAAGTGTGGCTGGGCGGCTTCGAATGTGGATATCAGCTGTTTTCACTCAAATAAGAGATCCCACCCCCACCCCCCCACCCCCAGCTAGTTCGTTAGAGAAGGCATTTTTCAAAAAAACAAGTAAAATTCCCCTGTCAGAGGAAGCTCAGTAGAAGGCTGCCAGCCGTGCCGGAGCTCAGCCTGACGGAGCGGTTTGGGATGATGTCCTTGTAGGCAGTACAACCAACTTTTTGGAACTTGGTTCCTTACTGTGTCAGCCCCCGCTCCCTATTGCTGCCCTTCAGAGATTTAAAAAGACTGGCCGGGAGCACTCCCCAGAGCCCCGAATGCCCAGCCCAGCCCCCAGTCCTCAGCACGGTCCTGTCCCAGCCCTTCACGGCAGCACCTCACCCTGCTGTCGTGCAGAAGTGTTCTGGGTCTGCAGACCCTGCTGCTCCGCCCCAGAATTGACCCAAAACTCGGTGGTCTGTGGGATAGATGCTCCCCACGTCCGAGACACGTGAGCGAGTCCACCGTGTCGCAGGTCATGCCTGCCCACCGAGCCTCTTGGGTGGCCAGACTCGATTTCTCCAGTCGCACTCACCCCGTGTGGCCTGGCACCGGCGGGCGGGAAAGCAGCTGCATGCACACTGGCTCGTGGCAGGCTGAGACGACCATCCAGCCATCCATCTTCCACTGCACTAACACCCCCTCTCCCCCCAGTCAATATGTCTCTCTCCGATGGGAAAGTTAATAAATTTTGCTCTAGATTAAAAGTATTGATCATTTCATTTGTAAACGATAAATAAAAAGGGGGAACTTTTCATTGCACCAGGGGTAGCGTCTGGTGTGTTTTGCCGGTGAAATTGCGCTCGCCGATGGGGGGGTGGGCTTCTCATATGCATTCTGGCCGGCCAGCTGCATTGATTTCCTATTAGTCTCCCCAGCACCACCCAGTAACACATCATTTCAGCACCTGCTATTAATGGTCTTTTGATAAATAATCACTTGTAAGTCAATAAATTTTTATTAAACAGTGTGGCTCTTTGATTTATTAAAATCCGACCGTGTTTGTCTGGGAGAAAAGGGATGCTGAATTGAAGTGGAGGTTTTCATACATCTTCCTGACGCTGAGCAGTCACCGCACACTCCAGAGAAAAACAATTGCATTTTAACAGAAACAAAACAGCCGAGTTTGGAACTTGGGCCCGGGGAAACTTTATCTTCGTCAGCCTGATCCTGACTCTACAGGGAGCAGCCGCAGGCCCGAGGGCACCCGCCACGGAGTCAAGAACTTTGTGTTTGCTTCCGAGAGCGGTGAGGTACCTGAGCTGGGCCCCCCTGCTGGCATTGCGGGAAGCACAGAGCCTGGGCGGCCCGTAGGCCGCTTCCAGAGGGGGCTACCCTTGGCAAGCGGGCATTTGGGATCCATGAGAAAAGCTGGGGACTGTTTGCTTCCATCCCCGGCCGGGTCTCCAGAGTCCCATCTTGTGGCAGGAAGTGCCAAGAGACAGTTTATCTCTTACGTGGAGATCTTGGCTGTACAGATGAATTTTAAAAGTGGGCCAATAGGTGAAGCAACTGGAAATCTCTGTGTAAACTTGGCATCGGCATAAAATTTGCTGTAAAGGGCTTGACAAGTTTTCCTGGAGACTAAGACGGCCCCAAACGGACTGTTGTGTACAGAGAGGCCCAAACACTGAATACAGAAGCAGAGCTCCCAGCCCAGAAGGAAGTAGGAGAAAGGAGGAAAATACGGCCAGTAAAACGCGTTGGTTAAAACACAGCTGCAACTCCTTGACCCTGGCCTCTACTGGTGTGACTCCTTTTCCATGCCTGTTAACTGTGACAGGTGTTAATAGGAAGGCTTGCAAAGTGAGGATTGCTAGTAAGAAGTTCAGCTGAGGACTTTGATGTTTTAAACAGTTTGTTACTTGTTTACATCACGCTTTTAAACGTGTTTAAAATTTAATGTTTTAAACATGCTGCAAGGTTTCTTTTGTTGCTTGGAGTTCCTTTTCCATCCTGGTCTTGGTGGGGAAAGCTTCGAGGGAACCTTGAAGGTGAACAGGAAGCTAGAAAGCAGAAAATATATGTGTGACTGGCCCAGCAAGCAGGTGAGAATAATGCGGGGTTTTAGGGGCGTGGCCCATCCCGCCCCCAAGTGCAGAAGGCTGGTCCCTAAGGCTTGAGCCCAACCCCCAGTGAGCTGTCCTGGGGTGCTAGAACACGAGTATTATTTAGTATATTCTGCACTTTGGGTGTGCAAAATTCAAGTCTACTTTCAAAGTAAAACAGGAGACTTGTAAAATGTTTCACTCGGGTTTACCTCTCACTTTTGTGAATTCCCCCTCACTTCACTTCCCGGTCTGAGTTCTTTGCACTCTGCTGTTAGGAGAAGAACCACATACGGTTTCTTGAGCTCTGAATTTATTTCTGGTCATCTGGAGTCAAATACAGTAAACTGTGGAACAGGAGTAACTCGGCTTCCATTGAGGCTGCCAATGCGGGGTGGGGGCCAAGGGGAGTGAGCCTGGCCCAGAAGAGTTACAAGGGACATTTAGGCCATCAGAGCAGGTACCTGCACACCTGTAGATACAGCCAGGCAGTAGCGGCCAGAAGGTGGAGGTTGGGAGCGAGTAAGGGTAGAGCCCTGAAGCTAATCCTAGAGAGCTACGACAGTGGGTTTCCCTCTCTTGAGCCCCCAGCTCCCCCAAATGCATCTTCATGTCCTTGAACCCCTCCACATAGCACAGATTCAGCTCTGACTGGCTGGAAGGGAGGTCAGGAGAAGGTTAGCTGGTGCCTTCCCGTCTCATCCCACCCAGAGTTCTAGGCCAAGATGTTCAGCGCTCCCCTCGCTCCCTCCTGACCTGTTTTCAGGGTCTGGACAGACACTTGTTCCTCCCTAGCTGAGGAACGGCTCCACTCGGAAGGAGCAGCGACCAGGGGAGGTGCCCAGCCTCCTGGGGGTCTCTGGTTCCCGCCCGCTACTGCGGTGGGCTTGGGGAAGGGCTGCCTGCACTCAGATTGATCCGCCAGCTGTGATTTGTCATTTCTCCGAGGCAGGCGCTGTTTTCTCTTGCTTCAGGAGGCCCCTTCGACACCTGCTTTATTTTTCTTCCTGCGCTGACGTGACGGGAGACAGGTGTTAAACTACTTAATCACTTTAAAATTGTTTTAATTTTCTGTTTTTTATTGATCTCTCCAGCACCAATTAATCAGCTCACTGGACCAGGCAGTTAGTACATTAAAAATTGTCAGGGAGGCCGTGCATCTTGCAAAATGTCTAAAAAATATTCGGCTAGCAAATTTCGTTTTTCTTTGGCATGCAACAGTCCTTGGCCCACAGAAGTCCCACTTGCAGAGGATCCTTGCCTCTGGGGCTTGCGACCGTCCGTGAGTATTCGAGGAACAGGAGGGAAGCTGGGCAGAGGGGTTCCTGCAGGGGAAATGGAAGCAGGTGCCCTTTGCATCACTAATTTCTCACCTTTCCTTCCACTTTTGTTTTCTGCTTCCCACACAGCATGGGGTCTCCTCTCACCAAGAGCACTGGAATTTTTGTGGAAGGGCGTACTTGCTCTGCAGCCATGTGTCCTGATCCCCATGAGGGCAGGAATTCATGCTCTGTGACTGTCCTTGCAGCCGGGCACCCCGCCCACAGCCAGATTTCCTCTCGCCGGGGACGTCGGCACCTTTGATTTGTCCTTCCGATGTTGCCAAAGCCACCTCCCCGGGGACAGGGAGCCTGCTAAACTTGGTAAACTCTCTCCATTGGCAGGTGGCTCTGTGTGTCACACTGCCTTGTCCCTGGCACCCTGGTGATGAACCTGAAGCCTTTCCACAGAATGTTCTGGACAACCCCACCCCCACAGTCACCTGGTTGGTCCTGTGCTGTGAACCCTTGCCATTTATCTTTTATCACCCCTCTTGAAAATCATTTATTAACTTCTCGGCTGTACTTTCTGAATTAAATAAAAACGTGGACAGAATAACCAGGGGCTTCAATATCATTTCTTAGGGATATAAATTTCATTTCCGGTTTTCCCATTTTTGCCTGATTTTCTAGGACTTTCCAAAAGCGAGTGCCTTATTTTTTACGTGCCAAACCAAACATCAAACAGCCGCTCCGAACTGTCTGTGCCATCCCAGGGGATGACACCCTCCTGAAGCATCTCTATGCGCTTCTTCCTTCCTTCTGAGCCTCCGAGACTAAAGGACATCTCATTTTACCCTCCCCCACTTCCCCAAGCTGCCCCCACTCACACAAGCTGCCCCCCAGAGACCTCAGGCACAGCCCTTTAGAATCAGGGCCGGCAGCCCCCACCTGAGGAGGGAAGGGGTATGAGCCCCAAGTCCAGACGGTGGGGGCAGGCATGGTCAGCGCCTGCATGCTGGCCCGCCGCCTTATCTTCCCCCAGCACCCAGCCCCACCCGCTCTGTATTAATTGGTATATGATTGGGCTGGGGCATATAATCTAGTATTGATTTTCTCTCTGGACGCCACAGCTTTATTTGCTCACATCTGCCTTGTGTTTAATTGGTGCTTTGCTCTGGAAACGAGAGATCTTATCGGCTTGTTTGGTTCCTTTTCCTGGGGCACACAGGCACGCACACACCCTCACACTCTGCAGTTGGCCGGCCCAGCCCGGCCTCTCCCTGACCCAGCCCCCAACCGTGAGGCATTCCTGGGGGATAGGAAGAACACAGAATGACCCAGGAGGCTTTCTCAGAGACTTCCTGTCTTTACACTTGACCTCACATGCAGTGGCCAATCCTCCCTGGTGTGAAAGTGTGCGTGACCATTATTAGGGAAAACGCTGGCTTTGGAGTCAGACCCAGATTCAAATCTGCCTCCCCTCTTCCCTGGAGGTGACCCTGAGGCTAGCCTATTGAATTTTTCTGCACTGCAGTCTCATCTTTCGCTGAGGAAAAGGCAAAATTCCTTCTTTGTAGGATTCTTAGAGAATCTCTATCAATCAACACACAGTAGCTGGGACCTAGTAGGTGCTCAATAAACAGCAGGCCCTTGACCAATAGCATTGCCCCATTCAACCTACATGCACTGACTGCCTGGTGTGAGGGATCATAACCCTGTGTACCGGAGAGAAAACAGAGTCACCTGCGGCCACTTTTGTCCATCAGGGTGAGGGCAGCATGTCCAGTAAGGCTCACAGTGCAGTGAGAATCTCTGACCCCAAGGCACCGCTGTCACCACTCACCTTGTCTGAGGCTGGGAATCTCTCCTGTGCTCTCCCTGCACCTGAGATCTCACTCTCAGCCGGGCCTCTCCTGTCACCCGGCATCCCATCCAGCACAGCCCCAGGCCGGCCCCTGTGCTCGAGGTTTTGTTTTTCTTTCCTCTAACTATGGTCTTGCACTTGGGCCGGTCCGCCCTGGGCTCTTTGTAGCAGAGGGAAGATGTAAAGGCCAGAGGTAAACACTAATTTCCTATTGACACAACATTAATTCTCTTGCTTGGACAGGTGAATGTGCTTTCACTCACTTTGCCAAGATTAATGATGTTTGTTTGCCTGCTCAGAGGCCCTAATGAGGGGGGCTTTGGAAGGCATGCCTTCTGGGTTGGCCGAGGGGAAGGAGGCTGGCAAACCACTACTCCTGGAGGACAGCCGGCCACTTCCACCACTTCCAGCATCATCGTCCCTGTTCGGGTGCTGGCTCCTTCCCCTGGAAGAAACGGGGTGAGCGAATTACTGGCTAAAGAATGGGAACTATTTCCCCCCTCAGGGGGTTGTTACTGACAAGGAGACCTTCTCAAGAGACCTGCACACGGGTCTGTGGTCAGCCCACCCCTCCCCTGCCTGTCTCACTGAAGCCCTCTTCTCACCTGGGTCCTTGCCCCATGTGCGCCCAAGGGGGTCATCAAAGGGAGGGTCGGCCGTTGGTTCATCGCTCTGAAGAGTAACAAATAGTACAGGCCAGGCCAGGGCTTCTGAGGTGGGGCTGCGGACACAGGAGCATCAGGACAATGGAGGACGCCTGATGACGCGAGGGGAGCGACGTAAGCGATGTGGTAACTAGGCTGGATTCCAGCAGCTTCTGTCTGTGACGCTGCAGGGTTTAAATAGGGCAAGAGGGAGCCCTACAGCTCGACCCTTCTGGGCAGGGCAGATGGGGTGGGGGAGGGGCTACTGGGGTGGAGACACTCCAGTCCCAGCCGCCGCTCTTCCGTGCACTGTCCCGTGCACTGTCGGGGCTCTGGAGACTTCCTGACCCTTGTGCGTGGGGCGGGCACAGCAGCCCATCTCTGCCAAGGCACCTGGCCTACACACCCTCCAAGAGCCGGAGAGGCAGTCCCCAGGGGAGCCGGGTGCTGCTCTCTTCTGGAATTCGAGCAAGACTCCGAACTAAGAAGCACTGAGGAGGGGAGGGATCGCTTCATCCAGTCCCTTTCTGTCACTAAGGGTGGTCCATGCATTGCAGCATGGCCATCTGAGCTGAGCCGGGGAGGCTGCGGAGGGAAGAGAGGAAAAGGGTCGGACCCAGAGTTCAGGTCACAGGTGGGAGGGAAGGAACTCTGGAGAATTCTAACCCAGGGCGGCTCCCCTTTGTCCATGTACCCCATGTTACAGGCCCTCTGGCAGGACCAGCCTATAAGCAAATCAAGGGATTAAAACAATGTTGTTTGTTTTTTTTTTGTTTTTTTTTTTTTACTGTTAGTGTTCTATCTGTTATAAATTGTAGAAACCCAATTCAACAAGACTCAAGACAAAAGGGTATTGTCTCCCGAAAAGGCTGGGGGCAGATGAGGCCTGGCTGAGTTTGGGCCTGACACAGTCCAACCCATTCAATCCCGCTCTCCCGCCGCCTCTCGGCCCTAGTTCCTCCCCTGGTTGGCTCCCTCCTCAGGCGGGTGCCCCCCCTTCACAGAGGAAAGATGGCCGCAGCAGCCAGAACCGGGCAGGTAGAGAGGGAAGACAGGTAAATCTGAAAACAACCTGCGCCCCTGCTCATTGGCTGGAACTGAGCCTCAGGCCCGTCCCAGAACCAATCTATCACATGACCAGAGAGGTGGCATTCACTGATTGGCTTAGGACTGTGTCACTCATGTATGCCTGGTGATGGAGGTGGGGTCAGCCCGCCCACACTAGATCAGTCAAACAAAGCCAGGAGGGTGCTTTTACCGTAGAAACATCAGGGTGGCCTTACCAGAAAAAGGCAAGGGTCAGTGCCAGGCAAGCCCAAACCACAGAAGTGCACTGAGCCCGGTCACTACCGGCAGTGAGCGTGGACGCTGTCATCCACCGAGCTTTACAGCTCTCCTGCACCTGACGCACCCACCCCTCTCGCCCTGGCTCTTCCCACCTTGCCATGTGGTGGCCCCAGCTAAAGCAGTATTAGAACTGCAAGCCCGACATTGCCTTCTTTCCAGAACACAGCGGCAATGGTTTAGGAAATTTGTTAGAGCCGGATCCCTCCCAGGAGCCCTTGACGGTTTGATTATATTAGACCTTCTCACAAGTATCACAGCCACAGAGCGGATTCCGCAGCAGGAGACCTGAAGGGTCGTGCCATCTCTCCCTCTTTCGCTGGGAAGACGATCCAGACCCTTTGCAGCTTACCTTCCATCCCTGCCGCCTTCTGGCTCTTCGAGTCTTTGTCACCAGGAAAGTGGGGATGTCACAGAAGACAGAACCCAATGCAGGTCATTGTGAATAACTCCAAAATGGGCAGGGAGAGCCGAAACGTGGGTTTAAACCGAGTTGGGTTTCTGAAATCACTATTTGTCAGATCTGTCCAGTCCAGGGCCCTGGGGCATTTGTTCTCCAGCCACATCCCAGGGACATATCTCTCCCAACGGAGTCAGAAGATCCAGAAGGGCCCTGGGAATCCGTATGCCTGACAAATCCTATGTCAGGCGAGCTTGGGAAACTGCCTCGATGAACATCTTCCCTGGCTGTGTCCTAGCTGCCCCCCTGGAGGCACAGGCAGTCAATTGCCAAGCAGCAGAAGGCACACCAAGAAAAATGCCGTTTGCTGTAGTTGTGCGCTACAGTGCATTGGATCCGCGTGTCTTTGATTAGAGGATTTGTGTCCTCTGTAGATTTCAGGTCTTTACACAACTGAGGACACAAAGCCTGGACCTAGAAGACAAGAAATTTGGATCTTGGATAGATCTCAGTTTGCTCATATGCAAAATGGGGATAAAATCTGGTGCCCAGTCTATCAGAGAATCAAATGAAGTAATGTAGATGCAAGTGTATGGAATGCTATAGCGAGTTTGGTATTATTGTGTTATTGTTTCTAGTGGGGATTTAGTCATTGTTTTTCATTCATATTCCATAAATTCTAATTTTTAGGTCATATGGTAAGAGTGAGTGAGTGATTCTTCCTAATGAAGGTTGCCTTTATTCTAGTGATTCTTTTTGAAGAAAAATTTTTTTAGAATGAGAACATGTGGAGCGGAGAGGGGCAGAGGAAGAGGGAGACAGAGAGAGAGAGAGAGAGACAGAGAGAGAGAGAATCTTAGGAGGCTCCATGCTCAGTGCAGAGTCTGACATGGGCTAATCACAAGATCTTGGAATCATGACCTGAGCCAAAATCAAGAGTCAGACGCTCAATCTACTGAGCCACCCAGGTGCCTCCTAGTGCTCCTTATATGATAAAAGATATGATGCTTTTGATGAAATACGGTGTCTCATGGATCAACAGAGTATTGCATGTTTGTTAACGTGCATTGCCATTAATTAAATTCTCTCTGGGGAGCCTGGGTGACGCAGTCAGTTGAGTGTCTGGCTTCGCCTCAGGTCATGATCTCACATTTGTGAGTTGGAGCCCCTAGCTCAGAACCTGGAGCCTGCTTCCGATTCTGTCTCCCTCTCTCTGCCCCTGCCCCGCTCGCGCGCACGATCTCTCTCTCTCTTTCTCTCAAAATAAACATAATAAAATTTTTTAAAATAAATTTTCTCTAATCCTTAACTGCTGCCTCCTAAGGGCCCCTCTCCCTTTGAAGACAGTCTTTCTTGGCAGCTGATCTCCTTCTTCTAGACTGTGAGCATCAGTAGGCCAGGGGGCTTGTCCCCTATTGGGATTCCCAGCAATAAACATAGTGCCAGGCAAAAAACAGATCTCAAATGTTGACTGCACGGGCTTTAATTTATAACATATGTAATCCTAATTTTCTTTTTAAACAGTTCACAGCCCAGACTTAATTGAAGTGGCCCCTCTCTCTTTCCCTTTTTATGTTAGTTAAAAGTGGAAGCTCGAGTCAGTCTGATTGCCTTATGCCATGTGACCTAGGGCAACTTACTTAACTTCTCTGGGTCCCAATGTTCTTGGCTATAAAATGGGTACAATAATGGTGCTAATTTCATGTGGGTTGTTTTGTTTTGTTTTTTTGACAATGAAATGAGAGAAGCCCCTGGAACAGGGCACAGAACCATGCATGTTTAATAAATGTTAGCAGGAAGCAACAGCGGGAGCCGTGGTGGATGTGGTCAGTGCAGCGAGAGGCAGAGCATGATGTTGAAATTGAGCAGAATCACTACTGAGTATCCATGGACTTGGCATCTATTAGTTCATTTCTCTGCCTCAGCTTCTTCTTCTGGAAAATGGGGATACTAAATCGTACATGGCTGTTGGAAGACAAATGTGTGGATGTGAGTAAAGCATTTAGAAGGGGTCCCTTTTATAGAAGGTGCTGGAGTCTTCTTCTGCAGTATAAGGAACAAACAAATGTCTCTTTGGCATCCTGGCCTGATGCCAGTGCTCTTGGCCTGGGGACAAGGTGACCACGGGGGTGCCTTCAGCCTCATTCCCATGACCTCTGCCTCCTGAATGACAAGTCCTTCCTACCACAGGTCTGCACTAAACTCCTCCTTAGACTCCCAACCCACCCTCTGAACCGAGTGGAAAAGACATGATCTAATAGTCAGAATAGCACACCTTTTATTGTTTTTTAATTGGGTACCATTTTGTTTACCTTAGCATCATCAGAGAGTGAACTGTTGTAAGCAAAATAATTTCCCAATGAAAATCCTTCTAAAATATTCTGCTCTTCTGGCCATGTTCTGCAGAACAAGAAGAGCACAGTTTAATCCTTCTGACGGCTCTGGGATATCGTTGCGAACATGAACCACAGTGCTGTCTTCAAAGACCTCGAACCTACATCGGGCTTTCAGTCATATGACCAAAAGTCCATGGAGGGCTCTGCTCTGAAATTCTTGTTTCTTCCTGTCGGCCGCTGCTCGCTTGCCAGCCTGCATCTCGGCTCTAGTCTTGCAGCTGAGGGGCTCCAGCCCTGCCTAGGAGGGCGGTGGGAGCCCCTGCCGGTAGCTACTTCTTTGTCCTCAGAACTTCAAACAATTTTGCCCACAATCGGGTCTCAAGTGCTACGACTGTACCTAGACTCCTCTACTTCCATTGAACAACTACCAAACAGGGTAGTTTGGGCCATACTGTGTGCTCTGAGAAAAGAAGTGAAGAAGTATCCCCACACATTCCCACAGTCATACCCACTCTGGACCCTCTCACACTGTGGCGTGCATGGTGTGCATAGGAGCCAGGTATGGGGGATCTGGTAAAGACGCAGATTCTGGAAAAGGGGCCCTGGGGGTCTGCGTTCCTACCAAGTTCCCAGGTGAGGCTGCGGCTGGTGCCCAGATCATGTCTTAGAGGGGCCAGGCTTTTGAGCAGAACAGACAGATCCAGACGCCTCGGGGCCAGGCAGGCCAAGTAATGGGGATCCCAGGCATGCAGAAGCCCTGGGAAGCGGTGGGAATCCCTCCCCGCACCAGGCTTGCCCTGCCTAGAGGCCAGCTAACATTTCTATAAAAGTACCGTCTGTCCCTGAAGAAACACCTCTATCTGCAAGCTGGAATCGACCCTCCTCCTCCTATAGTGCTCTGTCTGGGAGCCCAGAATCTCTGGCAGCTTGCCGGCCAATGAACCCGATCACACACAAGTCCTTCCGTAGACTTCCAGATAGCAGGTGACCTGCTGGGGCTGGACGACTGACAGGAGTATGGAGCTGGTCCCTTGTTGAGAAGACCTGCATCGCACCGGTTCTAGCACTGCCTGGAGGCATGAATTCGAGGAGGAAGGAGAGAGCATGAGCAGACTCACATTTAAGTGCCCACGTGGTCCGGTGCGTTGTACATGATTTCCTTTAATCATCTCCTCAGTCTAGCAGAGTGGGTGGTCAGCCTCATTTTACAGATGAGGAAAGTGGGTTTCCAGAAACTACCTAACTGGGTCACGACGACCCAGCTATTGGTTGGTGACATGGAGACTGTCAGCCTCCAAAGCCCTCTTTGGATAACGTGGCAGGTAGTGCTGAGCCACCCTCATTAGCTCTGATCTCACGGAGCCCTTGCAGGGTCTGCACAAATCACTCCTGTCTCACAGATGAGTATACGGAGGCCCAGCGGCTGAGGAACTTGTGCCTGGACACCGAGTAGTGGAGCCGGCATGTGGGCCCAGCTGTAACTGAACACGGTCCCCGATGCTATGCTGCAAGAAAAAAGTCGGGTCCAGCCACAGCCCCCAGGGGTGGCCTGAGTGTGAGGAGGGGTTCCCAGAAGTGGAATTCCAGTGCCCCATCTTGTTTTTTTAATCATAGCGATCAGCACGTGGCTGTTCTTAACCTGGTAAGACACTCTCACCCCACTACTTGCAGCCAGCCCGGCTGGGACATGTCCTGAGCCCTTCTAACTTTGGGAACCGCAGGTAGGATGGCCGTGGCCGTGCCTGCCTGCTAGAGCTTCCTGGGCTGCCCGTTAGAGCAGGGCTCTGAGGCTACTGGGAGCATAGGATTTAATTTCTTCCCCCTGTCTCATCCCTGAGAAGGTTGTGATGTTGATGCAAGAAGCACCAAATTTCCAAAATAACTTTGGGTTTTTGTTTAACTCAGGATGTTCAAGAAATCCCTTTTGTAACCGGGCATAAAATGTCTAGGGCTTAAGGTTTCTTTATGACAGATGAAGTACCCCGGCCTTGAATTCTCCCCAGCAACACACACACACACACACACACACACACACACACACACACACAAGCACATCTGCAGAGACAGGACTTATTCCAAATTCCCCTCAGGATCCAGGCCGTCCAGCTTGGGCTATTCTCCCATTTCAGAAAGCACTGGGAGGCAGTACCTCTGCCTGGCTTGGTGCCCGCACTCAGGCTGCCCACACCAGCAGGAATGAGGCAGAAGAGACAACTGGGAAGATGGCGTCTTTGAGCCAGAGTTTCCAATGGCAGGCGTGTCCCAGAATTTTGAGATTGGGGAAGATTTTGACTAGCTCGGCAAATGTCTCAGCAAATGTTTTTCCCAGGGGGAAAAGCAAACAAATTTTAAAAAACCCAAACATTCCCCAGGCTTGACTTAATGCTGGCCCCAGACAACTTGAATCAGACATACAAGAATTACAGCGATCAGAGAGCAGTTAGGATTTTAATCTGCCGACGAAAAAAGCAAACCAGCACGATGTTTTGGGTCACTGGCTTCTTCCTCCCCACGGGCTTCATGACTTCGCACCTGGATTCGGTTGGCAGCTCCTTCCCGGCCTGCAGGCCCCACGCTCCCGGGGCAGTGCCTGGCTCCCGGAGCCCACGGCAGTTTTTCATTTTGGGGCTGTGCTGAGTGAATCCTCGCGGCCTCCCAGGCCACTGTCGAGCCAGCCGCAGCCTGGCTTCAGGGCCCCACTCGGGACACATATGTCAGTGGAGGGCTCTTCAATGCAGCCGGTGGCCAGGAGCCGACAAGAGATGGTGCTCAGTTCTTAGAAGCTGCCTCTCTTCCTTCCCACCTTATGAGAGACCCTGAGCGTGGGCATCATACTGGACTGAGGGTTAGAGCTTAAAAGCATCGTGTTCTTGTGTCATGCCTGGCCTCTGGGTCCATTAGGGTTATTATGAAATATTAGTGCCTCCGCTTCCAAGAGGTCCGAGCTGAGGTCTTCTCCTGTCCTTGTTCTCACTCCAAGCTGATTCATTCCACTGGCCAGAGCCTCCCACCCTGGGGACCCAAGGGACTTGGGACAGCAGAGGGGCAGGTGACTAGCTACCCGGCAGTGTCGGTGTTTGCATCATTAAAGTTGGAAGGGTCCTGAAAACTCACTTCGTTTTAGCCTCTTGTGTTTCAGGCTTTGTAAAAAGGCTTTGAAGGACTGCGCCTCGGGCGGCCTTGGAATCCGCTCTCAGATTGCCTCGTCCCACTTCTGGGACTTGGCTTAGATCACTTCTGAGCCTCAGTTTCCTCATCCACACAATGAGGCTAATGCCTACCGCCTCATTTTCTTGTGAGGGCAAGTGATGTAATCTGGGCCTTCTACGTGGGAGAAATTAGTAGGTAGGTGTTCAGTTAATATCAGTGCTTCTGTTCTCTCCCCCATGATCTTTTTCTCATGGTTCCTAGTTTCCCAAACGGAACCTCATCCTCCCCCCCGCCCCCTCCCCCGCGAAGCTATGATTTCCGGGGAGGCCAGGAGCCCAGTTAAGGTCTTGGGTTTCTCCGCACCTAGGCCAGTGCCTGCCATTGACCAATGAGATTCCAAATTGACCCGGTGTTGTGCAACCGGTGTTGTGCAAGGGAGCAGACAGCCCCGCCCTCAGCCCCTCATAGCTGGCTTGGCTGGGACTCCACGGCCAGTTTCACAGTAGAAGCACACGAGCCATGGGGAGGTTTCTGGGACTTTTATTTTTACCGTTTATTTTTTTAAAGCCAGTAAAGATGGGCAAACGCTCCGTCCCTCTCGGGCTGCCTTCCTCCGGGCAGGCCCCGCCCTCCTTCCCGAACAGCCCCTCCCACCTGCCGCTGCTCAGCTTCACCTGGGCTGAAAAACAGCACCCCGCGGGCCAGTGCCCTCCGCTGCGCCGGCCGCGGGCCGGTCTCAGGAAAGGAAGAGCCTGGGGCCGGGGGGTGGGGGGGTTGGGGTCCTACAGCCTCTCCCTGCAACGGTCTCTCCCTTCCTCCGTGGGGTACCCCAGCTGGAGGAGCCGGGGGTTCTGAGGTCCCCTCCAGCGTTGCCATCCCTCCCCTCTCCCCGGGTGATCTTGCACCGAGGGCAGCCCAGGTGGGCGGCTCTGGGGTGCAGCACCAGCCCCTAGGATTCTCTCAATTTTTCTCTGCCTCTCACTCCCTCTTTCCCAGCCTGGGTGGGTGGGTGCGTGGGGGGGTTTCTTGTGGCTTCTTCTGGGAGAATCCCCGCTGAAGGCAAAGTGGAGAAAGGAGTCCAGGAGGACTTCTCCCTCCAGGGGCGTGATCCTTGAGTTGGGGTGCCAGGGGCGTTTCTTCTTCGCGGGGACCCGCTTCCCCTCCGGGAGGGGGTCCTGTATTTAGTTCTGGCTTCTCCTGGGAGATCCCTCCTGTGCCAAGGTCCGAGGAGGGAACCCGGACGTGCCATCTTTTCTTCTGCAGTCGGTCAGTAGCCCACCTGGACCCGCACGCTGGTCTAACTCCCGGGGAAGAAGGGAGACCTCTGCCCAGGCCAACTGCCTCCCTGGGGGTGGGCCCCCACAGCCGGCTCACAGCGGCACGTCTGGGACCCCACAGTCCGTTTCCTGGCCGCGCAGCCAGGTCGCTTCCATCCACCTGGGCGCTCACGGGTTTGCGGGGCTGTCAGGGCAAGGTCTGGGCCCCCAGGGGTGCCAGGGCTCAGGCCGGGTTTGTACCTCCCTCTCCTCTCCCTCCTCCCTCCGCTAGACCGGCCCCTCCACCACCACCTCCACCCTCCAGCCCCTCCTCCCTCTCTCCCTCCCCCCTCCCTCCACCTCGGCGCCGGGGACCCCTCGGCCCCCGGACCCCCCACCCCACCCTCGGGGCAGGGGAGGGGCTGCGGCCCGGCAGCCGCAGAGACGCGCGGGGGGGCGGGCGAGGGGGCGTCAGACGCTGTGCGCGCCCAGGCTGAGCACCGAGAAGGCGGCGCGGTGCTTGCGCAGCAGCAGCCGGATCTTCTCGTCGTCCGAGTCCGGGTCCAGCGGCTTGTTATACTCGTCGTCTTCGTTCTCCGAGGCCGCGCGCTCCCCGCCCGCGCCCGCGCCGCCCGGGGCGCGAGGCGTGGAAGACGACGGCTCCAGCGCGCTCTTCTTCCGCCACTTGGTCCTTCGGTTCTGGAACCACACCTGGGAGGGGAAAGAGGCTGAGCGTCCGGGCGCGCACGTACACACAGGCCCCCCCCCCCCCCCCCCCCCCCCCCCCCCCCAGCAAGGGGACTCCACTCGGCGGCAAGGACACTCGATCCTTATTTTTGTAGTAAAATAAATGGCTCAGTAATAGAACAGGTTGTAATGTTCACACTGGTTTTAGGGGAGGGGGTAACATAAAAAATGTGCGTAAGTGCAGCACCCCTTTCTGCTTAGCTCTAGCCCTCCCTGCGGTGTATCTTCCTTCTTTGGCACGCGGGACACTTGGATGGAAGAAGCTGAAATAACCAGGTGAGGGCATTCAGTAGGTGCTCAAGAGTCACCGCTTATTCAGTTTTATAGACCCTCACCGAGCTTACTGAATCATTTCCCCCTAATTATAAAAATAACGTACTTTCATTGCTTACAATAGTGAGGAGTGCAAAAAGTACCTAAAGAAGCAGAAAAATACGTACGGGGACCACATTGCTTCCTTCCACTTCCATCCAACAGACCAGGAGGTGGCTGGAGATGCTAGCGGAGCCCAGCCCTGGGTCTCAACCACCCTGTACTTCCCTCCTCTACCCTTGAACCTGTCACCATGTCACAGTGGTGGGCAGTTGCGACATACCTCGAAGCTTTCTTTTTTGGGGGGCCCCCACCCAAAGTCTCTCAGGAGAGATCTAACATCAAAGTCGGCTCGGGGAGCCTGGTGGCAAGAAGCCTGTTTACTGACTTCAGACTGCAGCGTGTAGTGTGAGCATGGCCGTTGCATCGGGCTTGGAGGCTTCCTACACCCGATATCCCCTCCGAGCTTCATTTGGGTGGCCGTGGGAGGAGGTGTTCTCTTTATTGGCAGGCCAAGGCCAGCTCCTTCTGCTAGCCAATGCAGCAAGTCCAAATCCAGCCCTAACACGGCCCAGAGGCTGCCTCCTGATCTGGTCAGCTGGAGGCTGCCATCGGCTCTTGATAGTTCTTCTGGTCACCGCAGTGCAAGGGAGGAGGAAGCATTAGGTTGGTGCCCCACAGATCTGGGCTTGAGCCCCAACTCTGCACTTACCAGCCAGGTGACCTTGAGCAAGAGACTCAGCTGAGACAGCTTCATGTGTAAAGTGGGTAAGGAAACCTACATCGAGGGAGCTGTATGGACTAAATGGGGTTCCACACTCAAGGCTCTTATAACAGAGAGCAGTATCGATAGCCATTGTTTTGGTGATGGTCATTATCACCATCTCCAGGGTTAGGTGGGCAGGCAGTGCCCAAACAGCAGGAGAGCCAGGAGTTGCTGGAAGAGCGAGGCTGCCTCTCTTCCACTCAGTGGCATCCTGTCCTGGCAGGCTGTTCCCCACGAGGCAGACACCTTCTCCTGCACAGACTCACCTTGACCTGCGACTCGGTCATCCCCAGCGAGTATGCCAGCCGTGCCCTCTCAGGGCCAGCCAAGTACTTGGTCTGTTCAAAGGTCTTCTCCAGGGCAAAGATCTGGTGTCCCGTGAAGGTGGGCCGGGTGTGCTTTTTCTTGTGGATGCTGTCACTCAGGGGGTCTGGGGCTGGTGGGAGGGAGAAAGTATGTGGTTAGTGGGATGGGCGAGGGGTCCCAGCCCTGTCCTGCATCTCCCACTGGCCGGGATCCTTCCCACAGAGAAGCCACTGAGATTGTGGGGGCATCGTGACCCCACTAACCAAGAAGCATTCCTGGCATTCTGACAATAGTGACTGTGACCTCTGCCGTGTCTGGATGGATAGGGACCTGAAGAGAGCATCTGCCCCAGGTTATAGCTACTTAGGGGACAGAGGAAGCTTAACACCTGCCCTGGTCTCATTCCTCTCTGTGTAGTGTTTTCACTACTCAGTCATGCTGCCTTCCCTCCAGGGGCAGTAGGACTTTCTCCTCAGTCTCAGCGACACGGGGAAACAGACCAGGCACCTTCCACGGACAGTCAGGGTCCCAGGGGGTCTGGGAATTCCCCCAGTTCCTGATTCCTTGCTCCCGAGATCCCGTTTTCTAGGTTCTTAGGAAACCAGAGCCTTAAGCCCCAAGTTAGTGCTCTCCTTTGTCATCACGCCTAGAAGTCACGCGGCTTCAACTACACCTGAGTCTGCCCGGAGGCTCTAGCCCCTGACCCCCACCCAGCGAGGACAGCTGCTCAGGCAGGTGCCGGGCTGGAGGGCTGCGGGGCTCAGGGGAAGCCGAAGGCCCACCTGAGGAGCCTTGCTCAGTGCAGCCCGGCAGTCATGGCACGTCTCCTCACGTAACAGGTGGGGAAACTGAGGCATCGAAAGGGGAAGAGACCTCCCCAGAGACCATCACCTGCAGTTCTCTCTCCTTTTGTGTTAATCCAGCCACTGACTCAGGTATTTTCCTGTGCGTGGCTATGCACTTGGGACGGAAGAGTAGGGGTGTGGAGAGTGTGTGGTGGGGGAGAGGGGAAGATGGAGGTGTGGGAGACGGAGGCCTAAAGTACCCCCAAAGCCAGTTCCAAGAAACGAGGTCTTCACCCGCATGCAACTCGCCATGTTTCAGGGTGAGTGAGCAGTGGGCGGTCAGGCAGTGTGACCGCCTGGCATAGCGGACGGGGAGGCGGACACGCGCTTCGGGGTTTCCTTGGTGGGCCCCCAGCTCCTGCAGTGGGGCAGCCCCCGCGTCTGAGAGAAGTGCCGGTTCCCTCCGCCTCTACCCCCTGCCTGATCCTGGCCGGGCCTCCGTGCCCCAAGGGTGGCTCCCGTCCCCCTCCCTGCCTCGCAGGTGAGCCTCACCTGCCCGTGCACGACCTGTGCCACTCCCCTCTTGACCCCGACTGGCATCACGGAGGCCCCGCAGCAGGTCTCTGAAAACAGGTCTGGGGATGGCAAGGTAAGGAGACCCCCGTGACAAATAGGGCCAAGTCTGACTTGACTCCACAGCTGCTCCTGGAGGCTGGGCAGTTGTGGCTGCTACTGCTGACATAAGCCCTGCGGAGGACGGCGGAAAGCTGGCCCCCTTGAACGCCGGCGGGACCAAGATGGGGTCAGAGGGCATCCTGTGTCCCTGAATGGTGTCGGGGCATGAGTGGGCTCTCTGGGAAGGTGATGCTGCAGCAGCGTCTCACCGGGGACCGCATCTGCCTGCTTTGGATGAAGAAGTGACATGGGCTCCGAGTGGGAGAAGGAAGGTGAGCTGCCAGCCGGACCCTACACGGGGCAGGAAGATCCGGAGACCCCAGGTTCCCCTGGAGGGCAGCTGAGGCGGCAGCTGGTAAGGGTGGGGGGTGAGGGGGGTGACGCCCGCCCAGGCAGAGCAGGGGCGGGCCAGGGAGGGGAGAAGTCGTTCCTGCACCGAGGTGGGACGTGGATCCGGGGGTCTGACGGTGGCTGAGGAGAGGTGGACGGCAGGTATGGACCACCCCGTGGGGGTTCCCTCCCCATGCCTCCCCCTCCCCTGATCCTGCGGTGCCCGCTGCCCGCCCGCCCGGGCTGGGGATGGAGCCCTGCCCTGTACTCACTGTTGCCGCACTGCCGCCCGGCTCGCCAGTCCTGGCCTGTGTCCGCCCAGCAGTTCCGGGTCCGGGTGGGGTACTCATTGCCAGCCTTGGGAAAATTCCCCACCTGGGGTCCGTAGTAGACCCCCTGGGAGCCGAGTCCACCAAAGCCTGCCACGTGAGGGTAGCTGGAGAGGAGGCCACTGTTCGGTGTGGCCACGGGTCTGCTCAGGATGTCTGTGATTCCGTGGGGGGTCCCGGCGGCCAGCTGGGGGCCCAGCCCCGGAGGGCTGAGCTTGTAGAAGGAGTTCTGCACCGAGTACTGGCACACGGGGGCCTTCATCTCCGAGAACTGGGCCAGTGGCGTGTTGTTCAGCAGGAATGTTCCCTGCAGGTTGGATTCCATGATCCTCGGGTCGGGGAGAGGGAAGGTGAGATGCCCAAATCCAGGCCCCTAAAGCCAGAGACCCCGAGCTCTGACCCAGAAGCCCATGGCAGGTTTGGAGGGTCAAAAGCGGCCGAGCCCCAGATTGCCCTCCTACCTAAGACATCCGGCCCAGCCCTGGCCCCAGGACCTGGCACCTACGTCAGCTGATCGGAAGTCAGGTGCTCCTGGGGCAGGTGAGAGGCCTTACCAGCACCCCTTCCCTCTCTGTCTGTCTGTCTGTCCTGGAGAAAGGCGGCTCCCCACACCTCAGCTCAGACCCCTTCTCTGCCTCTGAGTCTGGGGACCCTCCATGAGAAGTTTTAAGTTCAGAGAAGCAACATTTCCCTGATAAAGATATGGCCCATTAGAATACAGACCGCAGACTGGCTGAGCTGTGAGAGGCGCGGTGCCATTGGTCGAAACCCACACGGGCCTCACATTGGCTTTTCCAAGACAAATTGCACTTTGAAAGATTGACTGTAAAATCAGCCAGGGTGTGTGCGTGCGTGTGTGTGTGTGTGTGTGTGTGTGTGTGTGAGAGAGAGAGAGAGAGAGAGAGAGAGAGAAAGAGAGAATGAGCTCTGGAAGCCCTGTTCATTCTCAGAGGGTCTATCTGCTCCTGGTCCCCCAAGTCCAGCATCTAGGAAAAAGTGGGGGTGGGGGGCCTGGAGGCTCCTGAGGCAACTGGAAATCACAGTTCCGGCAGTTGCTCCCCTGAGGGCGAGGAGGCCAGGGGCAGGGATCGCTGCCCTGGGGTGCATGGGCCCCTTTACTTGCAGATGCTGAAGCCACTGCAGGAGCGTGGAGTCTCAGTGTGGATGCTTCTCTTCCTTCCTCTGAGCTGGGACGGTACGTGGGGAGGCTGGGCTTTGGCTGGGGCGGTGGGGGGTGGGGGTGCGAAACGGTGGCCGCCCTGAGAGCCTGGGAGTGGGGGCCTGCCAGGCAGACTGGGGCAGGGTGTGGGAGTGGAGCAGCTCTGCGTGTGTGTGCCCTTCGCACCACTACCTCCGAGCAGCCTTCCCTGATTCCCTCTGTCCTGCCATCTTCCTCCTCCGAGGAATCACTTGTGCCTCTGCTGGAGCCATTGCCGTGTTCTGCCTGGCTTGGCAAGTGGGCTGGAAAGCTTTGGTGGCTGAGATGGCTGTTGATTCAGTGGCGGGTCTCCGTGGCAGGCACTCGGTTGGAGCTCAGTCACTATTTGATGGATGGGACCAGGCTGAGTTGCAGAGCACCTTTTATTCTAATGAATTTTTATAACACACAAGGCTCTACTGGAGGCTTCCATTGTGCGAACAGGGAAGCCAGGGCAAATACCCGGGTGTTTCTGTAGGGGGCAGCATCCTTTCTTGTGGTTCTTGTTTTGTTTTGTTTTAATGGAAACTAGCAAGGCACTGGTCTGAATGTGCAAAATGACAGGAAAATAGTGATTGCCAGACAGATGAGATAGACTCCTGTCCCTCCTCTGCCTGGCAGTTCCAAAGCCTTTCCCCATCGGGCTGCGGGCTCCTTGGCTATCTCACCACCCTGTGGTCCCACTTTGGCAGGGGGGAGAAAAGAGGTGCCCCATGCTTTCTCCTAGACCCAGAACTCGGCGTGGGATGGCGGGGGGTGGCGGGGAGGCTCGCCTCTCAGATAGAGCCACACTCTCCCTGTGCTGCTGTTATCTGCCTCGGTAGACCTGGCCCCTCTGGGCCTCGTTCTCTGTAGCGTAAATGATGCAGGTTAATGCAAGAAAGACCTCACACAGCCTGTGGAGGTTATTTCTCTGGATTAAAAACACGAAGCAAGGTTCTTATTCATCTGAGTTGGCTGTGCTACCAAGCTGCCCGGCACAGCCATTCAGGAGACTTTAATCCCGATTCCCAGTGTTGCCCCTGACCTCGCCCAGACGATTGTGATCCTGAAAGTGTGATTTGAAAACCCTCTGGGTGATGCGGCGGCACAGGCGTGGCTGGTCTCTTGGCCCCCGATGGCTTTTCTGATACTGAGGGACAAGTTACAGATTCAGAGTGAGGGCTGGCAGTGCTCGGAGGACCCTGCAACTGTGACTTGGTCACCCCCTAATGACGGGAACTTATGAGGAAGAAAAGCTGCAGCACACAATTTGATTCCTATTTAATGCCAAGCTTGCCCAAGACATTCATGTTTGGAAATCCCAGTCTAAAGAGCCTTTAGCAATTGTTTAATCCATCCCCCCATTTGACAGATGAGAAAACTGAGGCCAGCTTGGTGGACAGCCTTGCTTGAAGTGAACAAGATGATTTTCCTAAAAGTTCTTGAACTTTGATGGCGTTGAGTGCAGGGGCCAGACCCCTTCATGGGGCAGGGTGGGGTGTCCTGGGGTAGTCCCCCTTAGTGTATGCCAGCTGTGGGGTCAGCCATGCACCCTGGGGGCTTGTGGTACCTCCTCCATCTACCTCAGACTTGTCCCCCATCTCATGGTAATGCTCAGGAGACAGAAATCTCTTCTTTCAGCTCCAGGGGTTTGAAGCCTCTGGGCTTTTCCCGGAGTGGGCAGTCTGATGGAGGGGCTGCCCCGGTTTCCAGGGAGTGGGCACCTCCCTGAAATGCAGGCCTCCCTGCTGACCGATCCCACCCGCAGACTCCTTCGGGGCCCCAACCCAGGCTTCACTCCTGTCCCAGCGCCTCAAATGCCCCCCAGGACGAGCCAGGAAGGAGAGATGGAGCCCTGTGCCATGAGTCAATTTCTTTATTAATTTTGACATTTGTTCAGCTGGTGTAGGGAGAATGGTCTATACATCAAGAGTGTGTGGGGGGGGTGGGGGTTCTCTCCCGATAACAGAGCATTTGGGAGAGAGTCAAGAAAAGAGTCATTTTCATAACAATTAAAAAAATCAAGGTAATTCCAAAACTTCTAAAAAGCGTCTAATGTGCAGACTGCAGCATTCTCTAGGCATCATGTGGAGACCCCAAACTCCTCCCCTAACAGCTCCTACTAGCAACTGGAGCGCGCAGCCATGCCGCCGAGGGCCTGGGGCCGGCGGGCCAAGCAGCCATGCCAGACGCAGCGGAAGGTGCCAAAGCATAGCCTGGAGCCGCGGGGCCCACGCCGGGCTCTACTAGGGGCTACGGGGGGCGGCGGCGGCGGCGGCGGCGGCGGCCTGCGGGGGGACCGCGCGGGATCGAGGAGGGGAGGCGAGCCCCGCGCCTGGCTTCCCGGGGCCGGGAGGGCGCCCGGCGGACGCGGAGCAGCGCCGCACCCCTGCACCGCGGGCTTGGGGGCGTGGGGGGCCGGGGGCCGCGCCTCCCGGGACACCGCCCTCGGCGCACGCCTGGCCCCCAGCGCCCGGGCCGCCCCTCCGAAAGCAAAGCGCAAGCCGCCGGGTCCAAGCGGAGCGCCTCGGCCGGCCCGGGCGCCTGGGGCCTGCGGCCTCCGCCGGGAGACCTGTGCGCTGGTGACAGGCACCAGGGCCGTGGGGGCTCGGTCGGGAGGGAGCTTCTGTGCTACTTGGAAGGTTTGATGTGTCTGAGGACACCTCAGAGGAGCGGCAGGGCGGAAGGTGACAGACAGGACGTCCACAAACAAAGGCCCTTGTGAGCGAGAAGAGCCTGCCAGTCTCTCTCCTGCCCCTAGAGGGCGCCCGCCGCGCAGGGCGGGGCGGATTGTGCTGATTCGGGCCTCGCTCCGCCGGAGGCTCTAGTGTAACTTTAAGGCTCTTCCCTGGTGGCACCGAGGCGAGGAACAGCCAGCTGTCTGCTTCCTTCCTGCTCTGACCGAGGGCCTGGCCTCGGAGGGGCTCCGTCCTAGCCCGGGGCCTCCAGGCGGCCAGCGGCTCTCTCCTCCTCCGGCTCTCCTCCCCCTGGGCCTGTGGTCGGGAGTGGGCCCCCCGCCCGCCTCTCCGAGTGGGGCGGAGGGGCTTGGTCAGAGTGGGGGCACTGAGGCTGTCCAGCCTAGGCCCCCCATCCTGTGGGCTGCCTGGACTTAGAGCACCAAGTTGGCTCTGGGAGACCCTGGCGGGGGGGTGGCTGACTTCTAAGAACTGGCAGATAACATTCAACTAGGCCTACTCCCTTCCTTCCTCTTTCACTGAAAGACAGGCTGTAGCTCCTTCTCCTGCAGCCCGGAGAAGTCCTCAGGAGCTGAGCTGTTAGTGCTTTGTACAAACTGCTAAAGTGTTTCTATTGGTTTGCATAGTATTTATTGTTTTTCATATACACAAGGCTGATTACTGTACAGTTTACACTTTGAACACAGACTATGATATAAGTGCTTGAAGATATAGAAAAACCTCCTCTCTATTGAACATGCTGGTGCAATCCTGGGACAGCCACCGGCCCGCCCCCAGCTGAGAGAGAAGACCCTTGCAGATGGGGCACTGGCTCCCTTTGAGCCCTACAGCTAAGCCTGGGGGTCCTCGCCTCTGATTCTTAAGTCCCTAACACAAGGAACCCCGAATGCACTCTAAAGGTAATGATTTTCCATTGGAAGATGATTAATACTGAGACTGGCAGAGAGAGAGAGAGACAGACAGAGAGAGAGAGAGAGAGAGACAACATAAAAAAATTCCAGTTTATCCACAGGAGATTCTATACAGCTTTGGACGTCACAGTAAAATCTGTGTGTATACTGAGGAGACGGGAGAGGTGCTTTTCTGTGTGTGTGTGTGTGTGTGTGTGTGTGTGTGTGTGTGTATGTGCCTGTGTGTCCTGAATGTCATATAGAGCTTTCTGGGAGGAGCGGCCCCCTGAGGGAGGCGGAGGGGACGTCACAAATGGAATGGAGGTGTGCGGTGGTGGGGAAGGCTGGCAAGTGGGGACATGGGATTAAGGTGCCAAACTGATTTTGTGCCTAGTTTTCTTTTCTTTTTCTTTTTTTTTTTTTCTTTCCAGGAAGCCCACGTGGATTTCCTACAGATGAGGTTGAAAAAAAAGTACCCTGTAACAAGTCAAAATTAAAATGATTTAAAAAAATATATCATCCCCAGCCACAAAAGAGCCCTTGTTCACGTTTGCGTTCACACGCTCTCTCGAGCTCGTTTTCTATCCCTCTCTCTCTCCCCGCCCCCCCTTCTTGAGGCATTTGTCCTGATTCCCAACTGAGATCCGTCGTTGCTAGAGGCAGGATTGAGGACTGTAGGCCATGCGTCTACAGTCAGTCGTTCATGCGAATAGGAGACTAAAGGAAGTCCCTTACAGAGATCATGCCGTTAGCCTAGAGGAACAGGCGCACCACTTCTGTAGCCCTCCGCTCCAGCTCTCCTTCTGTGTGCATGGCAGAGTGTGTGTGGAGTTCAAGGGTTGGGTGTCGAGGTGTGATCCTGAGGGACACAAAGAGAGAAAGAGTTACTTAGACTGTTAAGGTGCAACTCCCAGCAAAACCCCCAAATACTGAGTTTTGCGCTGGCTGTGTAGGCAGGGTCAGATTCGGGAGAAGCGGCCAGCATCCCCAAGCAAGGCAATGCAGTGAAAGGCGCTGAGCTCAGAGCCCCTGACCTTCGTGAAATACCAGCCTTCCTAGTCCCCCTCCCCAGCCCAGAGATGGCCCCTCCGGCGCGGCAGCCCAAGCCTGCCCTGGTCCCCTACCGCACGGGTGAGCTCTGCAGAAAAGCCTCCTGTGGGTGTGCTCCGTGCCTCGGAAAGGAGGCAGGAGGCTCCCATGCCCACAGTCGCCTGGGGGGAACCCATGAGTAGATCCTTGTACCTAGGAAAGGGGCCAAGTTCATAAGCCAGGGCTTGTGCTAAAGAAGGGAGCGAGCATGCCCTCCACTTTTTCAGTTTGGTTCAGCCAACATGCATTGATGTCTCTGAGTGCCAGCCCTGGGGACCCAGAGACGGAGCAGACATGAGGTAAGGAGCTCAAGGCCCCAAGGGACGACAGTCTACAAGCTCTCACTGTCATGTGCCTCTGGCTTCTCTCCTCTGCAGGGGCAGAGATCTTGGAAAAAAACAAGTATGTTCTCCCTAGAATATTATGTATCTCAGGCTGGCAGACAGCAGCTTTGCCTGCAGAGTTAAGTCCCAATTCTGTAGCCCAAGATTCACGAGGAGACACCACCCCTGCCACCCCATGGCGCCTCCTCCTCCAACCTGGGGTGAGAACTCCGTGTTTCCAAGACTAGCCACTCAGGATTCTGTCTGCGGGACCTGGGGATGGGTGGCGAAAAGGAGCACACAGAAATAAAGAGGCTGACAATCTCCCGGAGAGGGTAGGAAGTGACTCAGAGAGGCAGAAACTCATTCTGCGGCAGAGCTGTCCCCAGACAGGGAGCTGTCCTGGGCCCTACAGGTGACGTGGTTAGGGAGGAAGCTGGAGAGGGTCAAGGCGAACTCAGCCCCGAGCGGTTCTCCAGGGATGGGAGGGTGGTGCTAGGTTCGGCACCAGAGGCTGCCACAAAGCGAAACGTCAGGCCTTCTACTGCTGTGGCTCAAAAGTACTGTCACCCTGGAGAGCAAGACTCTTCCGTCACTTCCCTGTCAGCCAAGCCGGTCTCCTCTGAGCCCTCGACATCCACGGTGCCCGGCACCACTTCCTGCCTTGTCTGAGGCTCATGGATGCCATCGAGTTCCCTCTCTGCTAAAGCTTTGCTCACCACCTTCAAGACCTCTCCTCCAGGGAGCCTCCCTGATAACTCCAGTGCCTTCTCATTTCTCCCCCTCATTTCTGGAAGCTCCCCGCTGCCTCTGCTTTGTATTCAGAGCGATCACAGAGTGTAGCGGTTAAGACCAGCAACTCTGAAGCCAGCCACCTTGCCTGAGTTCATATTCTATCGCTGCCAGTTCCCTTGGTCATGTTACTTACACTCGCTGTGACTCAGTTTCCCCTGCTATAAAATAAGGGCAATAATAGGATATACCTCATTAGATTGTGGTGATGTTTCAAAGAGCTACAAAATGCTTGGGACAGTGTATGTGGATGTCAACTTTGGGCTCTCTGGAAACGCCACTGTCTTTGTGCTCTTTCCTGGGTCACACCTGCAGCACCTGCCTGGCTGGGGTACAAACACTCTGAGGGTAAGAGCCAGGACTTACCCTTCCCAGTGGTTGGTGGTCCGTCCCCCTAGTGCCCACCCCAGTGCTGAGCATGCCTCAAATAAGAGACCCCTTAAAATCTTGAGCCTGGGGAAAACAGCTTACCATCTTCCACTTTTCTGCCCAGACACAGAGCAGAGGAGAGAGGTGAGGCCTCAGAGATCATTCTATGGCAAATGCTCATCTTGTCCTTAGGTGAACTGAGGCTCCGGGAGGAGCAGTGAGGGGCTAGTGGGAGCACCCAGCGGTGGCAGGCGATAGGACTGGAAGGCAAGTCTCCTGGCTGCGTCCTGGGCCTCCACCGCCCTGCACCTCTTGTGGGGGGGTGGTGCCCCGAGGGAAGGTCTCACCCTCTAAAGAGCTGAGAGAGCAGCACCCCCCCACTCCCAGTGACAGCGCGGCTCAGTGCCTATCCCAGTCCATCTGCCCTCACCCTACCCAGTGTCTGTGGGCCTCCTCCCAGCTCCCTCAGCCCCAGACTCGTACCCCTGCAATGGCTAGGGAGGAGGGTGGGCTATGACTTAAAACAGCAAAATGAAACATGACCCCTTGCCTTGCTGCCCCTTTGGCCACTGAGATGACTAACTGCTTAACTTTTAAACTTACTAAAACATTCCACTGTCAGAGCTAGAACACAAGTTCTTGCAACCACGGCGTCTGAGCGGTAAAGCATCTCTTAAAAAACAGCACAAGATGGGGGCACCGGGGTGGCTCAGTCGGTGAAGCATCCGGCTTTTGATTTCAGCTCAGGTCATGATCTCAGCCCTGCATTGGGCTCTGTGCTGACAGCGGAGGGCCTACTTGGGATTCTCTCTCTCTTCCTCGCTCTCAGGCCCCTCCCCTGATGCCTCTCTCAAAATAAATAAGTAAATAAAGCTAAAATTAAAAAAAAAAGAAAAGGAAAACAAGATAAAGCTGCAGCCTTGTGCTGAGGCTTCCTGAGAGTCCCGAAGGTGGAGCCACGCAGACGCAGAGGAATGCCAAGACCCCATGCCTGCCCAGGACGTGGGCAGACAGAGTGTGATGGGCTGCGCCTGCACAGCCCTCCAGCTGCCCGCTCCGCGCTGCTGTTCTCACACGACCGACACCCGAATTCTTGGACCTACGTACTTGGGCACAAGGCAAAACCCACCAGCTGCTTCTGCCATGCACAGCCAGGCCTGGACTCCACAGGGGTTCTGTGGCTTCTTACCCACCACCAGAGAGCACCTCCTCCACCCACCGGGCCTTAGCTACAGAATCCTTCTCAAGGTGGGAGTGACTGGGGGGATCAGATGGGTGAGGGAGCTTCTTCAGGTCTCACCCCTAATGGGGGTGTTCTGCTGTCTTTCAACAAACTACAACCATCGATGATTCCGCTCGGCCCACTTTTTAAATATCACGTCTACAGCCGTGCCGCATCACCTCTGAGGTTTGGAAGGAAAACCAAAACTGGTTGGAACTCGCTCCTTAATACACATAAATATCACTTGAGAAGCTTGATGGAGAGTCCTGAGTTCCAGGATTTTCACTCAGTAGGTCAGGGACAGCGACTGGGAACGTGCATTTTAACCCAACTCTCGGATGATGGTGACACAGGATGTCAGTGACGCTTTGAGAAGCAGTTGGGTGAGCATTTAACAATGTATATGGCCTTTCACAAACACACCCCTCTGTCTTCGTCACCATCCGACAAGGGAAGAGTGGCATCGCTGCTATTCTATGGCTCAGGAACCCGAGGCTTGGAGAGGCCAGCTGACCTGCCCTGGGTCATGCTACCATCTTGTCTGCACTGACTGAACACAGATGTCATTCACCCGTCATGACAGCCTGCCCAGCTGCCATGACTATTGCTAAGCCTCTCTGTTGAGGTGGAAGGGACTGTGTGCAATCTCCCTCACGGGGACGGAGGCTCAGGACAGTCAAATGACTAGTGCAAGGCATGGCGACCTGGAGAAACAGAAGGAGCCGGGCCTTGAATAGACTCCCAAGCTCCAGCTTTCACTCTCTGTGAAACAAATACAGTCAGTTCTTGCCATTCGCGGTGGTCATGTTCCAGAAAGTAGCCAACACTGAACCACTGCCCTCAAGGAAAATGCCTGTGAACCTCAAGGTGCCTGTGAACCTCTGTTGGCCACGTCTTTGTCAGACAATGAACACATAACCTTGATTTACGTTTCTGTATAAAGACACCTTATTTAGAACATACTGTGGATTCCTTAACGTTGAACTCACCACCAACAGCGCTCTAACTCACAGCAGCGAATCTTATCTAATGTACGTCTTTGTCCCTGTAGGGCACCTCACAGCCTTTTACTCTTAGGAACACCAGACAGCACTTTGGCACTAGGCCTCGGGGCCATTTTAAACAGCAAAATCAACAAAAAGCATAAAAATGCAAAAAATGTGGCACTTGGGGCACCTGGGTGGCTCAGTCGGTTAAGCGTCTGACTTCGGCTCAGGTCATGATCTCATAGTCTGTGGGTTTGAGCCCTGCGTCGGGTTCTGTGCTGACAGCTCAGAGCTTGGAGTCTGTTTCAGATTCTGTATCTCCCTCTCTCTCTGACCCTCCCCTGCTCACGCTCTCTCTCTCTCAGAACTAAAGAAAATATTTAAAACATTAAAAAAAAAAAACCATGGCATTCAACAGCTTGCAAAAAGGACACCCCGTTCATAGCACGAGAGCCCCGTCAAGGGCGCAGACTGCCGTCTTGTTCGCCCTCAGCGGGGAGCGTGGACCAGGGCGATGCCAATTTCTCGCCATGATGTATGTGTGTCTGTGAACGACCGTGAAAGCACTGTGAGTGTGGGTTTGGGGGTTGCCATAAATCTTAGCCAGCAGGCAAATCTGCGAGTGTGGAATCCGTGAACCCCAAGGGCTGACGGTACATGCTTATGAGTGGGTGGCAGTAAGTACTGAGGGTGAGAGGGCCGTCGGCCCTTCACGCCCTTCACCTTCTGCTCTGCAGCCCTGGTCTTGCTGGGGGGGAGGGGCACTGCAGGCCGCCCCCACCAGGCCCTTTGGGACCTAGGCGGGAGCCTGCCTCCACTCCGGCTCCGTCGCCACTGTCCCCACCCTAACAACTTCGCCCGCCCCTTTTTAGCAGAGGCCCCGGCACGGTGCTGGAACCAGGCTGCCTGGCTCTCCAGACAGCCAAGCGCCGTGTCTGGAACCGTGTCCTCTGCAGGTCTCAGCCACCTTGCAGATCATCCATAGAAAAAGTAAAAAGAAGAACTTCTAGGCTCCTCCCCTCCCCCTAGCCTGGCTTCTATCTCGGCTGCCTCTCTCCTGTTGAGGATCATGAGTAGAACAAACCCGACCCAAACAGAAGCTGAAACGTAAAGCCACCGCCGCGCCGCACGGAACATTAGGCGGAAGAGGACAATTCCTTCCACGCTCCGTTCCTTCTAATTATTTGCACTGTTGGATTCTCTCCAAGACTCATCGCGGCTAAGCCACTAACCCGGTAGCCTGGCGGGACCCCCCGGCAGTGCCAGGGTTAACACTGTGACCTCCTTAAGCTGCTGAGGAGTCATGTCTAATTTTATCCTATCACTGGATCCGCAGGCAAGCGCTGAGGTATGTTGGGAAGCCCAGAGCCAGCACTTCTGGTGGCTCGGGAGGCAGCGGCCCTGCTTTTTGCTGAACACAGAAAGCCTGAGCCTGCTCTTCCCTTGGCCCAGAGCCACCACACCCCCAGGGGTTGAACCAGCAAGAAGCTGGTCAGTGCAGTGCTGGGGCCAGAACGCTTCCGTGCTTCCTGCCGACTCCCACCCCGATGCATCCTGTACTGAGCTGCCCCGAGCGGGGCACAGTGAACGGCCTCGGGGCAGCTCAGTACAGGATGCCTCAGGGAGGACGGAGGTCAGAGCTGGCCACGGAAGCCCCCTGCGCCGCACGGGCCACCAGGAGCGCCTTCGCTGTGTCTTCATGGCCCTCCCTCACTGCGAATCACTGCACACCGCTGCTCCTCAGCCGCGCCGCCCCCATGCCCACGCGCCGTGCACCCAGCCCTGACAACCCTCTGAACCGGCTGGGAGATCGCCATCCACCCCCCAGGCCTGTTCCCTTCACCCTTTCCTAGAAAGCAACAGGGAGACGTGTCTCAAGAAACATCAGAGAATCGGTGCCTTGCGTTCACCAGGATTTTCGATCGGTTCCAGGTTCAAGAGTCAGTGTCGTCCTAAGTCTGTCACTGCTGGAGCGCTTCCGACGGACTTGCAGTGAAATGGCACAGCCTCGGCATACCCTACTGTGCTCCCTGAGACCTGTTCCCCTCCTCCAGATCCCCCTTGCTTGGCTTTGAGGATAATAGCACCACTGAGATTTACTGAGTGCTTTCACTCAGCATGACCTTTTTTCAAATCTGCATTTTCGCACTCCCGGAGAGGTCATCAGCAGATAGTATTGTTGGCTGTCTTCTCGAGGAGGAAAGGGAGACTCAGAGACGCAGTTAGTAGGCTGGGAAATGGGAATCTGTGTCTCGAGGCCATGGCACCACTGTCCCCCCTAAATCATGCCGGGGGTGCCACGTGGAGGTGTGAGCTCCCCGGTAGAAGGGGGAGATGTGAGGAAGTGAGCGGCCATTCCCGGGACCAGCCACTCTGCAAGGACCAGGCCATGCAGAAAGGATGCAGAAAGACGGGGTTACCTCCAAAGAGGCCATGTGAGGGGAGGGGCTAGACATCATTGCTTCCCCCTTTTCAGGCTGGCCCGCTTCACTATCTGAGCCCCCTTCCTGTTCTCTATCAGGTCCGGCTGCAGGCCACTCCCTCTCAGCTCCACCTGGAGACAGCAGCAGAGACAGAACGCAGGACAGATCACATAGAGAGACAGGCAAAAAGTAGGCATGGGAAGGAACGGCCCTTCCAAGGCCGTGGAAACCCTGCCTGCCAGGGAGGAAGGAGGCTCGTGGGAGACCAGAGGAGGTGAGCACGGTCTGAGCAGCAGACTGGAGCCCAGAGAGGGCGGGCGCACAGGTGAGCAGCTGGGAGAGGTGACGGGCGCCCGGGAGGGCCAGAGCCTCCTGGAGGCCCCAGCCGCCGCAGTACCTTGGCATGTGTCATAAAGTAATCAATATCAGCTTCCATCTCACTAGGGTCCTCCAGGGGCCCCTCAGCAATCACCTCCTCGTGCTCCTGGGTGTCATCGGCACCAGATGAGTCAATCTGCCGAACAACTTTGCGAATGATCTGGAAAAGAGAGGGAAGGGAGAAAAGGCCCGTGAAGCCATTGGAACAGAGGATGAGAAGAGCAGGTCCCCGGGAGCGAGATCTGGGGGACAAGAAGCCTTTGTCCTTTGTCCTAAGGCGCCCTTCCTTGAGTGGCCAAGAATGGGGCCTGGTCTCTGACCACCTCCCATCACTGTGTGGAAAACAAGTTCTGGGCAGCCTCAGAGGGGCTGGAATTCGCAGATGGGTCTCAGCTGACGTCATGAATCATCAGGGTTTGCCTCTTCATACTGTTGGAAGGTCATGCTGTCTTCCCCACACTGTGCTCTCCTGAGGGCAAAGGGTACTTCCTTTTCATCTACGGTATTCCATGCGCTTATGCTCCCTTATTCAGTCACCTGAATATTCTGTTTCCTTGGTGCACACCGTGTACTAGGACTGGGAGATGAACAAAGTAAGACACAGTCCCGGTCTGCATGAAGCACACTTCGCAAAAGAAAAGATGGACACACCTGACCGGTCTTGCTTCAACAGCAGGAGCAGCACCGCAGTGGAAACACATACAGGGTCTTCCCTTTGCTCCTCCTCTCCCTTCTGCCCAGACCTACTACGGTGCCCAAAACCTGACAGGCAAAATCAGGTCTACTGACTTAAAACCTGCTACCACAGGTAGAGCCTCCACAGCCTTTTTGTTTTTGGAGGCCGGTGGTAGTTCGGGGACCCCCATCCTGCTGTTTTCAGGGCTAGACATCACTGGACAAGTTTGGGCTGTTCCATGGAGTCTTCTAGAACAAAGTAGCAAGAGCTGAATTCAGGCTGAATTGGGTAAAGTGGCTTTGAGGAATGTCATGCCGGACCTCAGAAGACCAGAGCTTCCGGCACCTGAACCGTCTCTTCGGAGCCCTGTCTACCCTCTGCGAGGGCGGCAGCGAGAAGCTGGGAGATGAGTCCAGCACCATCTACCTCCCCCCGCCCCACGTCTCTTCAGCTCAGGGTGACTCTGTGCACCCACCTTCTTGGTGACAATGTTGCCCTGCTCATCTGTGAACTGTTCCTCGGTCACCTGCTCCCCTGGAATATTCTGAAACTCATTCCCCTAGGGTTGGAGAAAAGGAGAAAACTCAGGATTAGGAGGCGGGCAGTCTGGGAGAGACATGGAGGAGAAAGAAAAGAGCAGCAGCCAGCAGCTGCAGGCGGACGAATTCCACTACGGCAGGAAACTCCAACTCAGCAAGTACTGGCAGCCAAACCGGGGGCTCGTCGAGGCGTGAGCCCCCGAGGGCCGTGGGGCCCGGAGACAGCAAGGAGCCCCAAGCTTGCAAGAGCCTCGCGTGCCTGGTTTCCTCAACAGGGAGCAGGCAAAACCGGGCTGGTTATACAAGGTTTACAAAGGAGGCCCAGAGGGAGGGAGGGAGGCACCTAGCTTATATTTCGACAGCACTTTCCAGTGTAGAAAGCCCTTCCACAGACACCGAGGCCCGGAGCTGAGCCTCCCGTGCCACCGCGGCAGGGTGGGCTGTGCGGACGCCGCCCCCGGGCCCCTGACGTGGGGTCCCGCCCCGCCCCCCAGCTGCTGCCCGCGCAGATCGCAGTGCCGTGCCCTCAGCCCTGCCTCGGGCCTGGTGGTTACCTTCAGGAAAACCCGACGCCGGACCACCCTGGTGGAGATGGTCTCCTCGTCGTCACTCACGCCCTCGCTCTCCCCCAGCTCCTTGTCTAGCTCCTGGTGGATGTGCTTCAGCACAAAGCACAGGGAGCCCTTGACAATGTGCATCACGTTCTGACAGCTGACCAGAAAGAAGCCCAGGAGCACTAGACTGACCAGGAGCTGGGTGATGAAAGTCCACATCCTCACCTCCTCAGCAGCTGGGCCCTCCGGGGACTAGCGGGCTCGGGGGTCCGGCCGCTGTGGGGGTCCAGCCTCTCATTCCCCTCTCGGACTCCCAAGTGCCCCTGGGGCCCCTTCCATTCTCTCTCCGCGGGAGACTGGACGGCCCCTCGCTAGAACTGCCCCGCTGAGTGCCCTCCTGCTGAGCAGCCCCGGGCTCTGCCCTCACGCCTGGGTGACATCAGGCTTCGATAATTTTAGCTCCCAAACCAGCTGCTGGGGCTGTCCAACTGGGCTAGAAGGGAGCTGGCAGGTGCGCGTGTCCGGGGCACTGAAAGCGCATGTCAAAGTCACTCTGTGAGTGACTGCTGCCCCGCCCTGTGCTCTCGCCCTCCAGGCCTGTGTGAACCAGAGGCAGTGCTGCCTGGGGACACACACGTTCTCTTTCTGGGACTCCAGGCAAGACATTCGAGAACGCGGCTACTTGTGTGCTTCCCTGGGCTGTCGCTGCCGTGATCAGAATGGAGCTCACCCCAGTGCGTGGGGGTGGGACTGGCTAATACCCTGGAAAGACAGTGAAGGGTTTATTTCAAAAACAGCCCTGGAACGAGTGATTTGCTGAGGCGTCGCCAAATTAGCGCAGGGTGGGTCTACACTGGTGGTGGGGCCACCCGGAAGCCCTTGCAATTCCCATCAGCCCCGAGGGCCGTCGGCACTCCCCGCCCCCCTGACCGGGCACAGCAACCCTAAACGCAAGCATGTAACCGGTGTGTCTATTTAAGGCCTGTCCTCAAAGGCTCTTCCCATGCTGGGCTGTCAACGCCCACGAGCAGGAACCACGGCGCTTTAAGCTCGTCTCCACAGGGCTGATTCACAAATGCGGCGGGCAGCAGCTGTGGCCGAAAGGAATCTCACTTTCCGGATCAGGCTGTTCCTCTTTGAGTAACAGTCCACATGGCAGAGGGAACAAAGATCTGGGACCCAGCCAGCTGACCCTGCCACTCACTCACTGTAAGGGCTTGGGAAACCTGGGTACCTGCTCTGGGCCTCAGTTTCCTTCCTCTGTAAAACAGGGATGACTGAAGTGCTTTCCCTGCCCATTCTGGAGAGTGCTGAGAGGCTCACACCCGTGTAGGAGTACTACCACTCTGAATAACAATAGCAAACCCTTCCAGGAGTGAGTACTGCTGGCAGGCAAGGTTCTACGGTTCTACGGTTCTACGTGCATTTCACACACTAACTCAGTTTAGCCTTCCAACAACCCTACATTTTTCCATTTTACACAGAGGAAACAGGCATGGAGAGATTAAATAACTTGCCTGGTCAAAGAGTAAGGAAATGAGTCGCATTGCAAACTCCCATCACTACACGGTACTGCCTCATTTCAAGAAGGAAACACCGGGAAAAATAAAAGCCCAAGGCACCTGCGAAGGAGCTGGGCACTGGAGAGCATTTGGTTTGAGACCAGCCAAGGAGAGTCCAACTTCAGATATTGCCATCTGGGGACTCAGAGAAGAATGTCCTGCAGGCATCTCAGGCTTGCCTCCCCGGCGCCAAATCATAGGGCATCTCTCTGTCACTGTTTCCAGAGACTTCTTGGAAATACTAGTAAATGGGCGCTTTGCAAACCCTGGCCTTACATGGGCCTCATTATCATCTCCGGGGGCCCGTCAGATGATGAGGACAACAGCTCATGTACAATGTCCAATCTTGTCCTAGCCAGGGAAGGCATTCGGCCTGGGGGCCCTTCACAACCACTCATTCTGACTGGGAAGCAGGGATCCCGACTTTCCTGGCCCTGACCTTGGAGAAGCCCTCGGCCTCCCTGGAACCTCAGTTTCCCTACTGATAAACGAGGCAGTTGGATCCTATGACCTAGAAGGTTTCTCTCGTGGTCCCCTACGCTGCCCCTGCTTTCCCCCAGTGCTCCTGTTACCAAAGGCTGACTGCAGAAGGGCCATGCATAAGAAGGCTCCCAGCATCTTTCTCTTTCCCCAGGATTCATGATCACAAGCCTGGTTAAGAGCACCCATGCTCTTGGCCAAGTGCTTGCTGTTAGCAGCAACAGAAGTGCCAAAGACTAGCCTGCAGGCCACGAACGCACAGGGTGGTCTGGGGTTAAAAACAGGCACAGCTGCCTGTCCTGTTCGAGTCACATACGTGGAGGGAAGTATCTAAATAAAACCATATCGCAGCCAGCAGCCCAGGACTATCGTGCGGCTAACCTAGTCGTGGGGGCCCCAAGATGCATGCTAGGGCTCAGGTTCAGGTAGGGCAGACAGAGAAGAGAAAGCAACAGAGGGGAGGGAGAGGAGGAAAGGGCTCCCAGACGAGGAAACGGTGCTGTCTGAACCAAAAGAAACCAAATAGACACAGAACGCATCGTTTTTGCACACGCTAAAAATACATCTGCACAGAAGGGCCATGCGGATTTTATAAAAGTGCATACGTTAAAAAGGCACGCCTTAACAAGGCGTCTGGGATTCTTTCAAAACACCGTGTTGGGGGAAAGAAGAGCGGCGGAGGCATAGGTGAAACAAGATTGGCCGTAACTGGGTTACTGAAGAGCTCGGGTGGTGTGTGCATGGAAATTAATATGCTGTTCTGTGTTTGTATTTATTTGCGGCTTTTCAAAATACAAAATATTCCCGGAAACATATTAAAATGGAAGTCTATGGGAGTGGGAATGTAGGGGGGCAAGAGAAGTGAAAGGGGAGTGAAGCTAAAGCGACCAGAGAACGAAGTACAGCAGGGCAAACCCAAACGGAGGAGGGACGTCTGAGGGAGGCAGAAGCTGGAAATCAGGAGCGAGGCCGCCAGCCTCTCCTGGTCCCCCTGCCGAGCCCCTCGCAGGATCACAGGATTCCTGAGGCAGCACACCTTGGCGGTGATCCATTCACTCCTCCTTTACCACTGAGGAAACCCAGATGTGGAGAAGAGAGTGGCTTGTCTGTGGCCACACAGACCACGGCAGGACCAGAGTCAGCCTAACACTAAGGTCTCTTTGCTCTACACGCTTCCTAAAACACCATGGAAAAAGAAAACAAACAAAAACCACGGCTTTGGACTCCACCAGACCTAACTGCAAAGCCCGCCTCTGATCCTGTGACCTTGGACAATCGGCTCAGCTGTCAGCTGCCACGTGGAAACGACAACAGAGAGCCGAGGCAGTGTGAGCATGACAGCATAGGCCGTGTGCCTGGGATGCTCCCTGAATATTACTTTCCTCCCTCAGCAGACATGGGGCTTTGTAGCCTTGCTTCTAGAGGAAGTGAAGTCACCGCCACAACTTTTAAAGAAAGGAAGCAGGCTCGGCCCCAGGTCCTGACTGAATGACAGGCGGCCCCCGGGCCTCAGGCCCCTCCAGCACCGACAGGCATTGGCAGGTGCCTCCGTGGGCGGCTCACCTCTGCTGTCTGGGAGAAAGTGCTCTGAGCCTCCTGCACCCACTCCTCGTGGCTTTGGCGTCTCTGTTCCCTGTCGGCCTGCAGGCTCTCAGCGTTGGGCTGCTCCTCCCAAATGTGCTCAGTCGCAGACACCAGGACCTTCTCATACTCCTGAGACCCACTGGGCTCCAGCTCTTTGATGGTGGTGATCGTACTCTGGAATGAGTGTGGGCCACGTACGACATCCCCTTGCCAGGAGCTCTGAGCATCTTGTAGGTATGACACAATGGAGCCTTCTTCCTCCCAGTCCTGCAGCCTGGGGTCCAGAAAGAGAGAGAGGGCACCTGGTCATCCCTCAGGCTCTGGCCGCTCAGACACCCTTCCCCTCCAGAGCCCTGGCTCCACATCCCGCACTGCACACTTGCGGGACGGGGCTGCATGAGCAATTACACACAGTCAGCACACAGCCCTGTCCAGAGAGGCACAAACGGTACAAATGCTGCCCGGGTGGAGAGGCCCGTGGGGACCAGTGCCCCTGGCCCATCCCTTTAAGTGGATGGCTCTCCACCCTCGGCTCTTGAGGCACTTGGCTCACAGTGACGGCTGCCACCCGGGTCTCCATGCCCATCATCTCCTCTGTCTCCTCTCCAGCCCTGCAAGACACCCGCACTCCACAGTGCTTATCCCAGTGCGCATCCAGCAAGGTGGGCACTCTATCCCTGCAGAAACACGACCTTCTATGGCTTCCGGGACACCACATTTGCCTGGTTCCCCACCACCCCCAGCGGCTACCACCTCTCAGTGTCCTCTGTCAGTTTCTCCTAATTTCTCTGACTTCTGAACACTGGGCCCCACGGTGGCCTCATCTCTACCGACATCCACTTCCTACGTGAGCTCGTTCAATCCATGGCTTCACAGCCCACCTGTGTGCTCATCATGCCCAGGTGTGCACACAGCATCTCTTCCCCAAGCTGCAGGCGTATACACCGGGCTGCCTCCTGCATGTCTCTGCTCTGGGAGGGAGGCGGGAGGCGGTCTAACAGGCACCTCAGCGATAGCACGGTCAAATCCGTACTCATGACCTTCTCCCCAACCTGTTCTGCTCAGTCTTCCCCACCCTGCACAGCACAGCCTCTTCATCCTTTCAGTTGTCAGGTGGAGGACACCAGGGAGCTCTCAGGCTTCTCTCCTTCTCTCATACTCCATGTCTTATTTGCCAGCACTTTCAAGCACGTATTCCGAACACAATCATTTCTCACCACCAGCACTGCCGCCATCTTGGTCCGAACCGGCAGCAACTCTTGCCTCCTGGCTCGTCTCCCTGCCTCCACCGGACTCCTGGCCCTGTCAGGCTGTCCTCAAGGCAGCTGCCACATCACCTCGCTCCCTCTGCTCATAACCCTCCAGCGGCTCCCCATCCCACCCAAAAAATGCCAAAGCCTTTCTAGGACCCCGAGGCCGACGTGTCTGGCCCCATTAGCTCCCTCCATCACTCTGCTGTGATCAGTGACCTTCTCACTGGTCCTCGACCGGGCCACGCATGTTCTACCACAAGGCCTTTGCGCTGGCTAGGCCTTCCGCTGGATAAGTCCCCTCTCGTATTCACACGGCTCATCCCTTAATTCCTTCTGGTCTTCGCTCCAACGCCCCAGGCCCAGGCCTCCCCTGCTACCCAATCCCTCGTTTCAGCCATCCCCTCTCTACACAGGTACCGGCGTCTTACCCCCTTCCCTCATTTTCCTTTGTAGCACTATCATCTTTCTCCTTTTAGTTACTTTCCATTTCATTGGCTTTATCTCATTGTTGTCCGTTTCCCCACTAGACCACAAACTTCCTGCCGATGGGAGACTTTTCTGTGTTTTGTCCAATGCCGCATCCCCAGGTGCCGGGCACACAGCAGGCACGCAACCCATACTGTTGGGTGAGTCAACGACATGAGCTTGTCCCCACTGGAGGGCTGACCGAGGGCAGAGAACCAAGCTGTGCCACACCCTGAGTAGCGCCAGGCCTTCTGGCTCCCCACTCGGCGGCCCTGTTCTGACAGTGGTGCAGCGGCCGGCACGCAGGGTGCGCGTCAGTGCCTGCGCTGTCGGGCGATGGCCTCTGTCACAGGCATGACAGTATTTCACTTTAAATCCTCACAGGCTCCAATTCTCTCCACTACACAAAGGATTCCTTTAGGAAACGGAAATGAAACAAAACAAAACCTTGCTGTCTCCTCTTGTAAATGGCTTTCTCGTCCCTCCTACGTCGGCGCTTGGGTCACTGAGTACTGAGAGGACCCAGTCAGCCTGGGCTTCTGAGAGGGGCTGAGGAGGGATGTGAGTGGGAAGAGGGAACGAGAACAGATGTCCCACGGCCTGGCCAGACCTGAGCAACCTGGGTGTGCTGGGTGTGCACAGCCTTCCGGAAGCACGTGAACTCTCTCCTTGCTTTAGGGAAAACTTAGGAAGCGATACGGAGGAAAGGGCCACCAGTGCCCCATTCCTAGGCCAGTCCAGGAAGGCAAAAGTGATCCTCTATACTCTGCCCAGACCTGGGCATATGGTGGGCCCACTGTCATGGACGTGAGTAGGGCCTGTGGCCTGAGACCCGCGGCGTCTGCATTAGGCCCTCCTGCCTCAACTCCCCTGCTACAGGCACAGGCCAGGAAAATCACCCGTCTCTCAGCAGTTCTAAGTTCCGCCCTGCCCCGACAGGCCCAACAGCCTCACGCTTTCAGAGGGGGAAAGCAAAAGACACCAGTTATCAGCTTGGTCGAACCCAGGCTGCGAGAGAATAACTTCCCCGGACCCCACTCCTTCTGGGTTTCTAATGGTCTTCAACAGCACACGCCCAACAGAGACAGGGTCCCAGAGCGCCTACCCTCAGCTGCACTTTGGAGAGGTGGCTGTCCCAAGCCTTATAATCTCTCTCTCCTAATGCCCTCCCCTGTCCCAATGCCCCAGCCTCTCCCCTGCTGGCCACACCCCGGGGCATCTTGGGTGAGGACCCGCCTTTACAGATCACTGCTCCACTCCTACAGGACAGAGGACTGAGCACGGGCTGGGTGATTCACAGGCCAGCCGGCACCACGCTGAGCTGCTTTGCTCCTGGGCATTTAGAGTGCAGGGTCAAGGTCAGCAGCAGCACCTAAGAATTCCCTCTGTACTCACTGTCAGGCCCCATCTCACCCAAAGCCCAGGAAGATGAAAGGCATCTGGTCATGGCAGCCCGGCCCTTACCTGTCCTGGCTCGTCTCCATCACCCGACTCACGCTGGGGGATTCTGTGATGCGGGCTTGCACCCTCTGCTGGCCTGAAACAAGAGACACTTCATTCTCTGAGTCCTGCCCTGCACCCGTGGAGTCCTCCTGACTCTTACGACCTGGCAGCTTCTCTTCTGACCTCTGACCTTCTTCCTGGTCAAGCAAATCGATAAGGCCATTTGTGGCATCTGAATCCACTGTGTCGTCCTCCACAAGGTCCAGAGAGCCCATTGTGGGGCCCTGGGGTCCCTCGGAGAGCACCCCCTCCAGCTTCCACTCATGGCCGGTGGCGTCAGAGTCCTCGGCCTTGCTGCACTCCAGAGAGGAGTCCTCAGCAGTGACCAGGGAGGGTGTGAGGCCTGCAGACCACACCTGCATGTCAGACATCTCCAGCATGGTGTCATGCTCCGTGGCCGCCAAGGGGATGGCATCTATGACGGCCACCTCGTTCCAGTACTGGTCTGCACGCAGCGGAGAGGGAAGCGCGTAGTGCAGGGAGGCGGGGGACAGCAGCTCGTCTTGTAGCGAGGAGTAACCTGGATGGGCAGACAGAGGGCAACATGCTCCAGAAGCGATTTTTGTCACACACACTTACGTGCAAATCCACGCATGCGCGTGCGCAGACACACACACACACTCACACACACACAAACACAGGCACGGCCACTGAAAATGCATGCACATTCCGGGGAGGGGGCTTTCCAAGCTCAGTGTCCAGTGCTCAGGGCTGTGGCTGCTGCCCGGGGCACCGGGACAGGAGAAACAAGGCTCTGTGGGGGACAGCCAGGAAGTGGGGGCGGGGAAAAGGGACCCTTTGCTGAATGGCAAAGAGAAGAGATTGGCATTCTTTCTTGTCCAGTTCAGAGCGCTAGATCAAGAAGCCTTGATCCAAAGGATTTGTGCTCCAATCTCTCTAACGAGAGGAAAGCCCACCTCTTGATGTCTGGGCAGAAAGAAATGTTGCTCTTTCTTTGCTCGGAACATTCCTTTAGCACAGTCCTTGAGGGATGAGTCAGGAATGTACTTTCAAGGGAGGGTACTGCCCACCCAGATCTGGGGGGAACGACCAAGCTGACTTGGAGGGGTCTCACGGGGCACACTGAACACCCACCCTCGGTGTGCTGGTCAAATGGGAAACCATTTGGTTCCAGATGAAGTCACTTTCCCTCAAGTTGCAGACTGGTTCTGGAAACTCTGAGTGCTCTAAAGTGGCACAAGAGAGAGTTCCAAGGGTTCAAAATAGGGTGTCAGGTCAGGGGGCAGCAGGAGGCCCCAGTGCATCTGCCCTGAAGCCCCTGGCCCGCAGGCACTGCTCTGTTCACGGCAGCTCCAGGTCAGCAGTCAGCCAGCTCAGGCCCCTGCATGCATGGTCACTACAGCCTGTTCCTCGGTCTGTCCCCTGCAACTGTCTCAGACACGAGTCCCTGCTAGTCTCCTGGTTGGCTCTGGCGTTGGCTCCCTGAGGTCCAGCAGTGATGAGGAGGCTCGTGAGTGGCACGTGTATGTGTGTGAGGAAGCCGAGTGACAGCTGAAGGCATATTCTGTCAGTTGGCCCCTCTGCTCTCCTCTAGCCCAGGAGTGGGGGTCCATGGATGGGGCAGAGAGGGCCTCCATCTCCCCTTCAGAGCTGGTGCCAGTCTGTGGGTGGGGGGAGGGACTGGAACACAAGCTTCTCCATTCAGCTCTGCTTGTCTGGGGGAACCGGGGCCTAAAGCAGGACCCCCAGGGATGGGCAAGGCCACCCCTACAGCGTCTCTAAGGACCTCCCTGTGGCCAGGAAGGCCCCTCACCTAGCACTCAGACTCATCCTGCTGTTTGCCTCTTACCACGCTCTATCCAGCTCTTCCCAGGGCCTGGCCTTTCTTCTGGCCCAATGGGGCCTCCTATCCCAAGTCTGGGACTCAGCTCCTGCTCTCCTAGTTCTTCTCTACTGGACACAATAGCATCTGTTGCTCTTCTCATTCACTCACTTTTTCAACCAAAAGGTATGAACCGAGGTCTGCCTACATGCCAGGTACCTTGCTGAAGGGCAGAGGATTCCACACACACCAACGCACATGAACAAGACAGGTTCCCGTCACCCTCTTTTCTCACGATGTCTTCCCTGCGGCTTCAGCTCACCTTGTTTTGCGCAATCTCTGAGCCTGTCCTATGCTCCCTCCCTAAGCTGGCTCCTGGGACTGTACACCCTTGAGGGTGTCTCCCTCTTCCTCCCACTTTCTCAGAACAGGATTGGGAATCCGTTGGCCAGAGCTCTCCAGAGTGTGAGGAGGGTACAGGAGCTAGAGTGGATGACCTCAGGCGTATTTAACAAAACCAGAACTTCTGACTTAAAGATGTGTTCCAGGTGCCAGGAGCCATGCAGTGTGACTGACATACATCCTCCCTTAATCTTCCCGGGAGAGTTCTTTTCCTCACTGAGCTCTACAAGTCTATGTGATCCCAGGTCTGAAAACGAGGAGGAAGGAAAGACCATCAGGCTACGGTCGGGTAGCTGGGAGCGCAGGACTGCGTTTACCAAGACTAAAGGACACCCCTTTCAGCTCTGGCCAAACGAGGAGGAGCAAAGAGGAGATGGCAGAATAGGAAAAGTGGGCGGAACAAATCCTCCATGTTAAATCCAAGTGACTGCATGTGAAACTATGACCTAAGGAACTGGGAAACCAGGGCCAGGGGCCTTCAGACCCTCCACGGAAATCTCTCTGGAATATATGTGAGCCAAACATTTTAGAGTCAAGTGATTATTCTCTTCTTATTCTTGAAGGCCATATTATTGCCATTACTAATTGAGCATCCATTTTGTACAGAACATATACAATATGTTATTTTTACTTGTCACAACCACCCTACGAGGAAAGCAGTATCTCTCCTACTTTATAGATTAGGGAACTAGAGGTACAGCAACTGGCTCAGGGCACGTAGGAAGAGTGGTCTGGTCACTAGATTTTGCCGTTAGTATCTTTTAAAATTGCTTTATTGAGGTATAATGGACATACACGAAGTTCACATATTTAAAGTAGATAATTTGATGAGTTCCATGAAACCACAATGAAAAGAGGGATATTCATCACCCTTGAAAGGTGTCTTCACGCTTTATAATCCTTCTTTCTGTGTCCGCGTTCCCAGGTAACCACAGATTTGCTTCCTGACACTATAATTTAGCTTGCATTCCCCAGAACTTTATATAAATGGAATTAGACAGTGTGTACTCTTTTTTATCTGGCTTCTTTTGCTTGGGCTAATTATCTGGGTATCATCCATGCCATTGGACGTATTGGTGGTTTATCCATTGCTACTACTGAGCTGTATTCCATTAGATGCACCACAGTTTGTTTACCCATTTACCTGTTAATGGACCTCTTTGTTGCTTCCAGTTGGGACTGTTACCAATAAAGCTGCTTATCTGTGCGAATATATGCTGTTTCTTTTGGATACACACCTAGGAGTAGAGTGGCTGGACCATATGATAGGTGTACTTCTTAGGAAACAAAAACTTCTTAAGAAACAAAAGTGTTCTCCAAATTGGTTGTTCCATTTTGCGTTCCCACCAGCAATATATGAGAGTGCCAATTCCCCCATATCCTCAGTGACACCTGGTGTGATCAGCCTTTTCATTTTAGCCATTCTCACGGGTGTGTGTTGGTATCTCCTTGGATTTCCCTAATAGCTATCAGTGTTGAACATCTTTTTATGTGTTTATGTGCCATCTGTGTATCTTCGGGGTTAACTGTTCACATCTGCACTGCTAAAAATTGGGTTGTTTGTTTTCTTATTATTGAGTTTTGAGAGTTCTTTACATATTCTGGATACAAGTCTTATATCAGACGATTATTCCCAATATTTCCTCCCAAACTGTAGCTTATGTTTCCACTTTCTTAACAGTGTGTTTTGAAAAGCAAGTTTTTGTTTTTGATGAAGCCCAATTTACCAATTTGTTCTTTTACCGATCGCACTTTTGGAGTTGGGGCTAAGAAACCTTTGCCTTACCCGAGATTTCTGACGTTTTCCTTCATGTTTTCTTCTAGAAGCTTTGTAGTTTTATGTTTATTTCTAGAGGTTTTTATGTTCGGTTTTACATTAAGTCTACCATCCATTTGGAGTTAAATTTTGTATTTGCTGATGCAAGGTAAAATCCAAGTTCATTTTTGCTTATGAATATCCAGTTGTTGCAGCCCCACTTGTAAAAGTTATCCACTGAACTACCTTTGCACTTTTGCTGAAAATCAGTTGTTCATATATATGTGGTTCTGTTTCTGGCCTCCATTCTGTCACACCAATTCATCCATCTTTATGACAGTACCACACTGTAATGATTACGGTAGCTTTGTAATGAATCTTGAAGTCAGGTAGCGTGAGCCTCCAACTTTGTATATTTTCAAAGTTGTCTTGGATATTCTAGGTCCTTTACATATGAATTTTAGAACCACTTTGTCTGCAAAAAATGCCTACTGGGATTTTGACCAGGATCGCATCAAACATATAGATCCTTTAAAGGAGAACTGACAATATTAAGTCTTCTGACCCATTAACAAGGTGCATCTCTACATTTATTTAGGTCTTCAACTGTTTTCAGTAATGTTTTGTAGTTTTCAATACGTAAGTCTTTCATTTTATCAGGTTTTTCTCCTAGTATATCAATGTTTTCAATGTTATTGTAAGTGATATTCTTTTCAAAATTTCAATTTAAAATTGATCACTGCTAGGATAAAAAATATAGAAATTCAATTATTTTAGATACTGAACGCGTATCCTGCAACCTTACTGAACACACATATTAATCACTTTTTGTAGATTACATTAGATTTTTTTATATTGGTGATCTTATTGTCTGCGAATAGAGATGGTTGACTTCTATCCTTCCAATCTGGTTGCTTTGTATTTCTCTTGCTTGTCTTATTGTACAGGCTAGCATCTGCAATTTTTAAAAAATCTTACTTAAACCCAAATTAGTTAACATATAGTTTAATAATGTTTCAGGAATAGAATTTAGGGATTCATCACTTACATGTAACACCCAGCGCTCATCCCAACAAGTGCCCTCCTTAATGCCCATCACCCATCTGGCCCATCCCCCCACACCCAACACTCAAGCAATCCTGTTTATTCTCTGTATTTTAAGAGTCTCTATTGGTTTGCTCCCTGCTTTTATCTTATTTTTCCTTCCCTTCTCCTATGTTCATGTTTTGTTTCTTAAATTCCACATATATTTATTTTTCTTTGAAAAATAAAATTTCTCTGATAATCATATATTTATCTTTCTCTGACTTATTTCCGCTTAATATATTCTAGCTCCATCCATGTTGTTGCAAATGGCAAGACTTCATTCTTTTTCAACACCAAATAATATTCTTGTGTGTGTGTGTGTGTGTGTGTGTGTGTGTGTGTGTGTGTGTACACCACATCTTCTTTATCAATTCTTCAGTCGATGCACATTTGGGCTCTTTCCATAGTTTGGCTATTGTTGATAGTGCTGCTATAAACATTGGGGTAGATGTGACCCTTCAATTCAGCATTTTTGTATCCTTTGGAGAAATAC